TCACGAGTGAACATTTCCATAATGGACTTAGAGCTGATCCTGAAAAGGTATTAGGCGCGTTGTTTACTTTACTTGATACCGGCGATTTAGATTAAGTAGTAGAGGGTCCTAGATCAAGTGCAAAAGAGATATTCGGGACATGGTTTTACCTCTTTATTTATGTCCATATATCTACTAAAACAATAATATATGTTTTCTAAGTAATAACATCGTTAGTAGGTATCGAGGGATATATCACGAATCGAAAATTGCCGGAAATCGCATTTTTTAGTAACCCCTAACGAAGTTTGCAAAAAAAAAATGCACAAATTTGCAACTTCTAATACTAATAAAACAAACTCTGTCTCTGTTTGTGTCTTCAAAACTTGTGCGTATAACCGGCAAAGCATTTCTCTGACTTGGCACGGACCTCTGCTGATCAGAAAGTACTTCCTCATGCCTGCCTGGAAAGTTCAATACGCACGCCTTGACATGAATTAGCCAGAATCAACCAATACAACCCTACTTTTTTCCATTTTTTGGGTAGCAGAGTGATAATAGCGAGCATATATTATTCACTTTGTTACAATTTCGGAAAGAGGTGGTTTCAACAAAATTTTTAGAAAAACAAGTCATTTGGGGAATTCATTGATATGAGGAAAAAGAAAATCAATAGCCGATCCGATGTGTCATGCATAACCATATGTATATCATCATACATATAGTCCATGCATTAACTCCGCAAGTTGCATAAACTTATAAACCACAATATCGAAGGTTGTGGCAAATTACTCAATACTAAATTTTTGAGCAGGTTATGGTTGCAAAAAATGTCGCACAACCCGTTTGACAAAGGAAGAGAGGAGGAACACCTTTCTTAACTGGACACATAAGTTTATACATTAACACCGTAACTCGCATAAACTTATAAACCACAATAATGAAGTTGTGGCAAGTAAGAATAACGAGTAAATTACCAACGTTTTTTACAGCGTGTGGACAACCACTTTTCTCTGAGGATCACTCACCTTTACTAACGGGATAAATAATAATGTATGCATTAACATCGTAACTTGCATAAGACCATAATCCACAATATTGAAGTTGTGGCAAATTAGTTGGTGATGTTAAATTGAAAGTGGACATGATTGTCCTAGTGTAAAGGCCTACAGTAATTTAACTTCTTAGTTAATAACTTTGGCTACGGTTAATGAACCACTATACTAAAAAAAAGCAAATATACAAACAAGCTCGCAAACACTGGTTTTCTTGATGAAATGATCCAACCAGATCAAGGAATTAGATTATATCTATTATTGTAATCTATATACCAAAGTAATCTAAAAATAATTATTCGGGACAAATCCAATTCTTGAATTTCCATCAACTTTGGAAATCCCAACCAACCAATTCAAATTATCTTTATTATATAAAGTATCAACATTTTGAAAATCGAAAATAATTTCAATTTCATCCCCTTTCTTAAATGATAAATCTCCCAATTCCGATCCGGGAAAATCATATTTCGCAATCTTCTTCTCCCGCACAACATTCTCATTATTATTTATTTTGGAGAAAAACTTGGAATATTGATCTAATTTATAAGTCCCACTAGAAGTATCATTAAATAACATTTTCTTGGGATGAATATCAAATGTTGGGTCCTTTCCCGGTACGGGTGCTTTTTTGATTTCATTTTTGGCCGTATTATAAACCCGACGTAAATTCTTCTCCAACATTTCCTTATTGGAATATCCAACAAGAATATCACTAGCGAGGGAACTATCAGATGATGACGATGAGTAGCGAGAAGCATGAGATGCAGTAGTGTTTTCATCTTCATCATCGTCAGAAAGTAATGATTCCATGGAGCTATTTGAACCAGACTTTAATGTATAAGGTGGAGGATAATGGGTGGTACTAGTTGATGGGGTTGGAGGAAGGGGTTTGAGTCCAGAAGTAGTATTATAAATGGAATGTCTAGTTGTATTTTCACGCGGTGGTAATGGTGGACCTGGTTTTTTTGTTCGGATAACTTCAGGTATAAGTACATCATCGATATCTACAACTTTATGAGGATGATAAGTGTCAGAATTATTGGCCAGTGGATCTTGATAAGTAGTAAATGCATCCAATGGGTCAATTTCTAAGACATCATTAAATACACCATTCTGATGGTCTTTACTTTTGACTGTAAATTTACTTTCTTTCACTTTTGTTGTCATTTTATTCCAAATTTTGTGTCCAGACAGAGATGTGTCATTATCTTGAATATCTGAATTGACAAGTTCTGGTTTCTTGTCATAGATAATGCTTATAAATGATTCAATTTGAATTCTTGTTGTTGTGATATTTGATTCCCATTGATCAATTATGGAATCATAAGATGGAATATCTTTATCCAATAATCCATAAAAAGTACAAAAATAATTCAAAGTGGATTGAATCTCTTTATATGTTTCTAATTGTTGACAAAAGATTACTTTTGTAATAACTTCAATAAATTCATCAAGGAATGAAATTACATGAGGTAAAATTGAAATTGTTTTATCATTAAGTTGACTAAATTGTTGTTCAATGACTAAATATTTATCTTCAAGTNGTTTCTAATTGTTGACAAAAGATTACTTTTGTAATAACTTCAATAAATTCATCAAGGAATGAAATTACATGAGGTAAAATTGAAATTGTTTTATCATTAAGTTGACGAAATTGTTGTTCAATGACTAAATATTTATCTTCAAGTTTATTTAATTGAGATTGATCTTTATCATTTAATGGACCACTTTTCTTACTTAATTTCTCAATCTTTCTATGAGCAATATCTTGTTCAGTTCTCTTTTTATTTCTCATTTTAATTAATTTATTGGTATCTTTTAAATATTTCTTCATTTCTTCTAATCTTAATGTAATTGATTGATCATGAATTTCCCATTCAGTTGATATTTTATATCTTAAAGCTTCAATTGAACTTAAATAATTGAATAATTGTTCATTAACACTATCAATTTCAAAATGCTTTTCTTTAGGATGAACATGAGGAATTTCTTGATTAGCTTCAATTTTATCAAATTCTTGATAAAATTTATCAATTCCTTTAAAATCTAACGATTCGTGACCAATTAATGAAATGAATTGTTGAATAATTTTACCATGTAATAACAAAGCTTTTGGTAAATATGATTTGGATAATTTATGATTTTGAGATATAATGAATTTAAGTCCCAGAATTGATTTCTTAATATCATGATGATAATGTTCAATCAATTCATCATCCTTATCATAATCTCGATGATGGAAAGTTACTTTATCTTTTATTGAATATGAAAAATGAGTAATATTCTCTTCAGTTGATTTATAAGTATCCTTAATGGTATTACCAACTGATTGACTTAATTTGGTAATACCAGATTTTAATTTATCAGCAACCATCCTTTTCTTCTATTCTCCTATAAATGTATTGTAAGTATCTATAATATCTTGTTTTACTTAACAACAAATATATCAAAATGATCTTTTAAATTGACGAATGGGATAGGGCGTTTAACTTTATATATAAATTGTAAGAAAACGGGAAAGTTCGGAATGCGTGGGGGAATTCTATTTTTAAAGTTCTATTTTATGTTTTTCGTAAACCCCTGAAAATTAGATTTATAAAATTGGCCGCAAAATTTCATCAGAAAAATTTTTCAATTTCTTCTTCTTCTTCTTCTCTTTCTTCTTCCTTTTCATCAATTGATTAATAGTGATATACTTAAATTTGAATGACAAGCTACTACTAAGGAACAAATGTTGACAGATATGCGATATTCTTTTTCATAAATTAGAATGGAATAATATGTCATAGAACACCTTGTCCACAATGAGAGGAAGTTGATGGTAGGTCATCCTTGCCCTTCGCTGAAAGTTGACGGTTATTGTTTTGTCTTGATGGTAGAATACAACAGGGAAAGGACACCTTTACAATGTATTAAACCTACAAAACAAAACAATAACGGGCAAATTCCAAAGAAGGTTAAGGATATTTGTACCAATACATCAAGATTTATGACATCATGGGCCCTTACCAGTGTTGCGAATGATAAAATTAGCCATCTTTTATTAATTTGCTGTCTTTGATTCCAATAGCTTGATTCTTTTTGGCTGCTCATTTGTGCGTTTGATGTTGGTTGAGTCAAACAATTTTTGGGCAATTTACATATCATTCTTAAAAATCCCAAGTGTCAAATTTCATAACTTAAATGGTATTCATTATTCTCTACGAACCTCTTACTAGGATTATTCTGTGATGCTTGGCTTCGACAAACATTTACTGACAACGCTTGGTACGTGTTTATATATACTAAATCACATCACTAGAAGCAACTCTCTTGTCGAGGTTCTGCGGTCACTCCGTAAGGAGGTCATGACCCAACGTAGTAGACAAAACAAGCAATGATGTCAGTTCGTGATTTTAACCCGCCAAAATTCGACAACACCACAATTCCACGGCTCGAATTTCTTTTGCTATGTTAACTGCATGGTTCAATCTGCAATTCTTCTGATCGACAAATTTTCACCAATTGGCTGCCCTAATAGTTTCTACTTCACCTATGACGGCAAGGCTTCTCTTGAATATTCTTTTAAAAAGCTCTGAATTCTGTAAAAAAAAGCTCTGAATTCCGTAGCTCCTGAAGCGTGTTGATATCCAGGTTCACAGCCTTTTCTGGCTGTATATTCATATTTTTTTTTAACATAAACAATAATTCATAGCTTCTTTCAATCCCCTAGACTGCTCTGATATACAAATAACATCTCACATCCGTCTAGGTGCCCCATTACTTGAATTGATCGATAAATCTTCCAAAATCTATCCGGATATTTCATTCAACTCACATCACGTGATCACCTTCCAAAACAATAACTTTATAACACATCCGATATAGTGTAACGGCTAGCACGGTTCGCTTTCACCGAGCAGACCCGGGTTCGACTCCCGGTATCGGAATAACTTTTTTCCGAACCTCGCTTAGGCGAAGTTTAAATTTTTTTAAAAAATTATTTTTTGGACTTCCTGGACATAGAAAATGAACTAAAAAATACTGTATTGGCACTGAAAGCAAAAATAATGAAGGATGCGAGGTTCGAACTCGCGCGGACACTGTCCAGTAGATCTTAAGTCTACCGCCTTAGACCACTCGGCCAACCCTCCATTGGTTGTTGAAGGTGCAGTATATTGATACCTGGCCTCAGATCTGGAAGTAGTGGATGATTATCGAACTCAGAATGTACCTTATGAGTTCTTCAATTAAGGTTATTGATTACTTTCTAAATGTAAAACTGGTTTATTAAAATATATAAAAACTAAATATAAAAAGATAACAAATAACAATATTTATAAACAAGTGAATCAGAGTTGGAATTCACATTCCAGTGAATTCCTGCATGTAACACAATACAGAAACCAATATTCAAACACAATCAATAAAGAACCCTAACCCTAATTCACAGCACGTGATATAACAGATGACACGACGATAACAAGTACGACACGACATTAACGAGTACGACACGACATGATATAAACGACATCTAACGACATGAACGACATTAGGGACATTATACATCAAAGGTTGAGGGTGGTTTTTCCGACAATATATGAAAAAGGAATTTTACGAATATTTTTTCTGCAGATTTACGAGCAGGACCCTTTAATTTTTCCCAATTTATGTTCTACAGTATCCCCAGCATTTCGTGGGTTCGAAAACTTAATTTCCACTTATGCTTTATATGATGCTGGATGATTCTGAAACAAATCTCTATAAGGGACCTTGTAATGGGTCTATCTCCATTGTGGTGCAGTTGGTGAATATATGCTGCTTCTCGTTTAAAAGAGACGATGATTTGTATACAATAGGCAAATGCCCGGAAATTGCAAGGAATTTATCCAAACAAATTCGGGACGAGTGGTTAATATCGAAGGAAACCCCAAGGAACTGTTACTTTGAGTTGATAGTGCAATCCGCTTGTGGCTGCTATGATATTTAGGTCCCAGTAACACTATCATAGAGTTGATAAGGAGACCGCACTATCTGAGGTTAAATTTTAAGGAACTTAGATAGATGTTAAGTTAATGGGTTGTGATACCTATTACTGTTTGAAAGGAAAGGTATCCAACAAATCCCAGAATAGTAGAGAAAACCTCTTTTGAGACTTGTCAGGAATTTCATTCATCGATCTTTGCAAGTCGACAAATTGAAATGTGGAATTGCAAACAGAGGGATGATTAGCCAACTAATCTTAGTCTGGAATAAACTTTGCAGCTGAGTCAACCTTGACCAAGAAAAAATAAAAACTAAGAGTTGTCTCCATGTTGAGCAATTAGCAATCTCTTTCCAAAGAGGGCGGATATTGAAATTGCTACAATAGTCTCGATTAGTGCCTACGATCAATGACAAGATATGAGAAGTGTCTGATGGAAAACACTAACAGATTTACATGTGTCATCTTGTCTTTCTTACTATGTGTAGTGTTTTGGTTCCGCTCATAATACAGTATTCTTTACCCAATCGTTCTTGGACGAAATCAAAGAGTTGGGGCTTTTCTCCAACCAAGTGAAAATAATGCCAATGGTCTTATCAATAAGATATCCTACCCGCAATTATATTTTCAGTTCAACAATAAGAAATGCTAGCGTGAAGCGAGACCAATATCTCGAGTCTTTGTTTCGGCAATCTAATTTCTATTCAATTACAATCCCCCCAAGAACTTAAATAATGGCTTCCATAAAATTGCAATAACGAGTTCATCACATCAACTATTCTCTTGAGAAGTCGTTTATTTCCCACCAAGCAGGGGGGAATACAAGAAAGGTCAAACACGAAACGAAGAATAGTTTTGAACAGGCGGTAATCGAACAGAGTGTATTCCACTCATTCTTTTAACCTTGTCACATTGCATTGCTGTCCAAGCATTTACAAATATAAAGTGGTCAAGAAGGGAAAGAACCTAATTTCCGAAAAGCCAAAATGAACCCCGGAAAAATTTCGTATCGTTTCTTTTTTTTCGTAAACTAAATTTCGTAAAATTCCTTATTTTCATATATTGTCGGAAAAACCACCCTCAACCTTCAACAACCAATGGAGGGTTGGCCGAGTGGTCTAAGGCGGTAGACTTAAGATCTACTGGACAGTGTCCGCGCGAGTTCGAACCTCGCATCCTTCATTATTTTTGCTTTCAGTGCCAATACAGTATTTTTTAGTTCATTTTCTATGTCCAGGAAGTCCAAAAAATAATTTTTTAAAAAAATTTAAACTTCGCCTAAGCGAGGTTCGGAAAAAAGTTATTCCGATACCGGGAGTCGAACCCGGGTCTGCTCGGTGAAAGCGAACCGTGCTAGCCGTTACACTATATCGGATGTGTTATAAAGTTATTGTTTTGGAAGGTGATCACGTGATGTGAGTTGGATGAAATATCCGGGATGGGTTTTGAGGTTTTTACGTAAAGAAAATCTTATAGATATCCTGTATATAGAGTGTAGGCAGACTATGTGAGTATTTTGGGAATTTGGGAGCTTTCATTCCTGGATAAAGCCAAAAAAGAACGCCATATGTTACTATAGGATGTACAGAGCACCGCAACAAAGCGTACTCTCTCCCTCTACTATTGAATCTGAAACAGTAGTCGACTATATGATAAGAGTAACGGGGTTTTAATTCCACGTGGTAATGGGTCGTCCTACTTAAGTTGGTACGGTTCTACTCCATACCGGTAGTTGCTTTCGTCAGCCCGGAAAAATGCCTTAGACGTATTTTAACATGGGGGGGTTTAGTGGGTATTGTGGTGTTACTACGAGACCCACACGCTAAGCTGCTAACTTTAGTGCATAAACGCATTTTCCTCTCCGTCTAGACTAGATTTCGGTATAGGTGGTGCCGAGAACTCTGGTGGCGGTATTCTACTTGTCGGAATTACCACTCCTGTGTATACCATAATACATGCTCATACAACGAAACAAAAATAGCACAAGGCTTATTGGTTATATACAAAGCATATCAAGAGCATATCATCTTCAAAAATGGACTGAAACTCACATGCGTCTAAGCAAATATAAACTTTGTACAAGAACGTGTGCTTAAGAAAGCTTCATTTTGGACAACTTCAGAAAGATGGATCCTCTAAAGCAAATTCAACTTGAATTGAACTAATGACATCTAAAACTCCTTGAAATATCTACCACATTTTTTGAATCCGGATAACCATTGTAATTTAAGACAGCTAGCTGAAAGTTCCTTACTGTTTAGTATGTTGATATTAGAAAGGCTCTTACTAAGATACGACTACAGAGATACACCAAATTTCTAAAATTTGATAGTGTAAATTGTAGACATTTGAGATTGCTTTTCTTACTATTTCCGTAAACAGTAGGACAAATGGCAAATAAACTTTCGGATTTGGGATCATAGTTAGCTTGGGCAATTGAATTCTCTGGATTTCAACGGAAGCAGAATATCGAATCTTGTCCCTCTTTGGAATAAATATCTATTTACCGCTACTGACTAGTCTGTATTTGAAACACACTACAATAGCGAAGCCAGCCTGATTGTTGTGCTAAGCTTTTGACTAACTCAGTTGGTTAAAAGCTGGTATGGTTCTACAATTTCTCTTATCTCTATTAAAGTGGTATTCGGAGACTCGTTTCGTCCAAATCTTATATTCAAGGCGCTACCAACCGTATATTGGCTGCAAAAAATGTCCCATCTAAATTTCTGCTGCGTTCTTACCATTAGAAAAATTCACATTCATTTTTTTTCATATACATTCATTATTCGTATTCAACGGAAAATTATTCATATTTAGCTATAGTAATGCTTTTCTTAAAAAGTGGGACTATATTTCTAGCCTGACTTAGGTTTACCCAAGCTATGGGTATAATAAGCTACTGTTATCCTTCGTTGTCGTCTATAACGAAAAAGACCTAAAGATTCTGCTTAATTTCCTGCAAATATTGAGGAAGAATAATTTATTAAAGCAAAAACGGATCAATTCTCCATTTGACAATCAAACAACTTAAAAATAACTTTATATGAACTACACTGGTAAAACCTTAAGATCTGTTTCAATTTAGCATACCTTGTTAAGCTTTATCCAAGGAAAAACTGGCTCAATTCCGGTCTGAAAAATCTCGGTTCGGAAAAAAGTTTTTCCTTACCCTCGAAATTCAAATTCTAATCGGAAAAACAGTAGTTTGGGACCACAATAAATCCACTATACACCAGCTCAACCAGGGAAGTTATGAATTAAACCATGAGAAGGGAGCATTAAGAATCCAACATTGGTCTTTAAGAATGGTCCTTCTTTCGTTTAGTGAGAATTTAACCTGCATTCAGGTTTTATCCAAAAAATTGCAATAGACAGGAGGAAGTTTTAAATTAAATTTACTAAACAAATAGTAGTCTTGCTTGCGGTATAAACCACACATCTTAAAAGGCTCTAGCGAGTCTCCAAGGTCACGATTTTTGATAAAATTTACAAATCTCGGAAAAATTCGGAAAAACTTCATCAACCTTCCAAGCCTGGTTAGCTCAATCGGTAGAGCGTTTGACTCTTAAGTTAGACATCAAAAGGTTGCGGGTTCGACCCCCGCATCGGGCTACGATTACAACTCGTTCAAGAACGAGTTATATTTTTTTTGATATTTCTGGGAGTATTTGTAAGGCAAGTATTTGGCTACTTGTCTCGCTTCATCATTAAATCGCTTTCTCAACAAGAATTGATTCCGCTATTATGTTTTTGAAGTTACTAGCTCTGTTCTAAAACGGATTTGTTGACGTTTTGGAATTTTTCACGGTGATAGTAGTTTTCTCTCCAGCGCGTGACAGGTTCTAAAATTCCTGCACGATGGCTAATTAAGGGGCTGGGGCTGGGGCCACAGTGAGCAAAAAAGAAAACGGGATGAGAGATCATGAAATTCATTGTTTAAATCTATACACCTGCAAGATAATTGAACGGTCACGATGTAAAATACTTTCTGCAGATATACTAAGCATTGTGGATTGGTACCAAACCAAGTTATTTGCTGTAATAAAAACACAAAGAATAAGCTGCAGAAAGTTTTTAATAATTGCTATCTCTAAATGCCGTTGTACATTTTGAACCGATAACCAAGTTACACAAAGCAAAAATTTGTGATCATGAATTGACATTTATTAGTAACGGAATTACCGCTAATATTAATATTTTTGGTATTATATTGCTTAATAAATTCGGTATATTGTTACTTGAAATTTAAACTTTTGTATTGGTCAATTGATTTATCAGTCCATTTTTCGCAGACTTGTCCCTTTTAAGAATCATCCCCTCTCCCCCATATTTTTGCAATTCTTTTTTTTTTTCACTATATAAAACTCATAATCCCCCTAATTCATTGACCCCTAAAAATTTACGTACAATTTTCTCTTTTTAAGAAAACTTATATCGATTGTTTTTTTAAAATATATTCAAGTATTAAGTTAAGTTCAAAGAATTTTAAGATAATTATAGTTTAATATTCATAATGGCTCGCACACCTCATAAACTTTTCCACAAAGGCACTTCAACTGATTTTGTTGTATTTGTTGAATCTCCAGAGTTGCTTAAGCAATACAGAAAAGATAAATCAATTGGTTTGATGGATGTTGTATCGATTCCCAAAGTATTTGCTAGCAGAGCTCATGGAGCAGATGGGATGTTTGACGAGGCTTCCAAATCAGAATTGGCGAATGAATTTGGTACTTCTCGTGTAGATGATGTTTTAGACAAGATCTTGATAGAAGGGAATGACAAGGCAACTGCATTTATTTCTGGTGATTATAGTTCCAAGAATGATTCTAAAGGAAGTGGTGCCCGCGGCTTTTTTTAAGGCTTGAGTATACTTATACCCTTTATTTAATTTTTTCAATTACGAATGATTCCGAATAATGATGATACTATAAAAAAATCAGTAGTTTATTAAATTACATACAAAAGTATAAATAGTTTTCTATCTTATATTTAAATAGTTTTTATAATGACAGATTTTTGAAGATGCAAATAACTTTTGATTTTAAATAATAGTTTATTAACTCTATGTCACTTCAGGAACTTCGATCATGTGACCCAATTTTCTTAACAAAATTATTGTGTTGTGCAGTCTCTAGTCTGTCTATTTCTTGTTGTTCTTGTTTACTCCATATTCACCCTTTTGGTTAAATATATTCAATTCTTTTAATGATCTATTCTTACCAATTGACCAATTTCTAAATAAAANTTAAATATATTCAATTCTTTTAATGATCTATTCTTACCAATTGACCAATTTCTAAATAAAAAAGAATCTTTAAATTGATTTGAATTATTCTTAAAATGAATTGGTAATTGTTGACTCCAAATTTGATATAATAATTTTTCATTTGCAACCAATTTACATTTTTTAATTATTAAATCCATTTCCATTTCATCATTATTTAAATATCCTAATGATTTATCATTCGTAAAATATCTTGATAATTTATTATCATCTCCCTCTTTTGTAAGTATGTAATGTTTGATATCGAAATCAAACAGTATCAGCACAATAATTGGTTTTCTAAAATAACATAAACTCTCTAACGAATCATATTTGCTTCCATTTACTTTCAAATCAAATGGACTTATACCTATGGGCAATTTGTAAACATAATCAATCTTATCTTCAACAAAATTCAAATCACAAGGACCATTGACAAAGTTTATTAATGTATCTAATTCATTCTTCCAAACTGAGAATTCTGTCTCATTTAGGAGAATCAATAAAAGTTCATATTGGCACCGGTTAACTTCAAAAGCGATCTTTAAATTATAAGGATAGATCGTGAATAAACCTTCATCAGGAGTATTTAAATCATATATTAACTTGGTTTTACTCAAAGGTATTACGAACTTTGTATTGTGCTTGATTGCCCATAAAGTTCGATAATCTTCACAAATAACAAGATGACTTTTGAATAAGATAGTTGGGGATGAACAAATCTTTTCACATTTATTTTGAATCCAAACTACTGATAAGGATCCAACCAATAATGGATTTCCAAAGAAATTCAAATCAATATCATAAGTATAACTAATTCCTTCAAAATTTACTAGATTCTCAATCTTTTGATTAAATTTGTTTTGTTCCACTTTAAATCCATCTTCGTTGATTCGATTCAATTGATTACATATATTCTTGATTGTAACTTCCAAATCTTTAAGTGGATCAGAAGGAAGTCCACAGTTTTTTGTAATGGATTCTAATAACAACCGATATTTTGAAATTCTTGAAATTGGCCTTTGTGAAAGAGACAGAAATGACATATCTATCGGAAGGTTGTTACTTGCTTCCAACATATTTTGATAAGCTCGCGATAATTCACCATACAGCTTTTGTGAAACCTGATTGGTTTTGCCAATTCTATTTCCTGATACTATTTTTTTCATCATCCCATATTGATTACAATATTCTTCATACCAAAAAATACAAATTCCAAATTGACATATGTTTTCACCAAAGGATTTCATTCGTTGAAGTTTATCTAGATTTGAATTCATAATTTCTGCAAATTTGGATTCCAACAAGCTATGAAGTTCATAAAGATGACAAATACAATAATAGACAATTTTCAAAGGAGTGGGCACTTCAGTTTTAGCAGCTATAGCAGAATTGAAGTATTCTTCTAAATAATGAACATTGAATTTTCGTAAAGATTCTTTATAATCCGTTTCTGTGGTGGTAATTTCTTTCAATATATGTTCAAGTTGTTCTTGTGATTCAAGAAATTTTTTGTCTTTAGGAGAAAATGTCATAGATGGCCAAGGAGACCTCAATTCAAGGGAAGATGATGCAGTGTAGTTCGATATTGGTGATTTATTGTTTTCATTATGGTTTGATTGTAACAAGACATGAGCAACCGAAACATTTTCCACTGATAGATAAGATGAATTATCTTGCAAGGCCCTTTCAACTTGAATTGCCTTTCTCAAGGCCCTCAGGAGACTATCTGTCGGGAAATCAAAATTGGGATCAAAAGCTATTCCTTCTATTCTTTGATGACTATAGTTAGAATTCATGTTATGGTTGTAGTCAAATGTTGGTTTTTGGTGCAAAAACGAAACCAACTTTTTTTTGCACCCATTAAAAATTATTTTTAACAATAGAGATATTATATGCAGTACATCACACCAATTTAGATTTGCTTAACAAAAAAATTTTGGATTGCTATAAACTTTTCATGGTGAGTCACCAATCAACAACGATAAATGAGTTCTCGTGCATTAAGGAGATTAGAGAAGAATAAGCTTGCAGAATTAGAATTCAAGCCTCCACCTGTTGAAAAGACAGAAAATGAGGAAGGAGAAGTAGAAGAGGATGCTGATGATGAAGCGAGCGAACAAGATCTGGTTCAAAAACGTTTTAATGCCTTTTCATTATTAAACGAAGGATCAGACAACGAAGAATCAGAAGAAGAAGAAGAGGAATTCGAACCAGAGCAGAAGAAGAAGACTGCTCCACAAATAAAGCAAGTCGTGACAAAATCTAAGAAAGCAAAAAAGAAAAAGAAGTCAAAACAGAAGAAAGAGATTGAACCAGAGATTGACAGTGATGAAGAGTTGGATAGAATTTTGGCTGAGACTAAAAGAAAAGATCAAGAGAAATTAAGAGGATCATCTAACAGTCCTTATTATGGAGATGAAGATGAATATGACTTTGAAGAAGAGTATGATGACCATGATCTGCCAGTCCCCAACTATGAAGACAACTTTAAATATTTCACAACAAGACGATTGAAACAAAGTTTACCTTTATTATCAGTAAAATCGATTGGAAACTTAGACCAAGATCAAGAATATCGTAATTTATTTGGGAATTTATCAATGGATACTATTGAAGATGCAAATTCTACAACTTCATTAGCAATCTCACCCGAAATGTTACAACAGTTCAAGAAGTTAGCAAGACTTACTAGAGGATGGGGTGGAAATGATCGTCGGAGTGTTCCAGGAACCACTAGGAAATTATTATTATCAAAAATACGAGATGATTACTTACCTACTACGTTGAAACCCATGACTATGGAAGAGATAAAGCCAGAAGATTATCGTGAATATTTGGAATGCAAGAATGACACATTAGATTTAAAAGATTTAGAATTGAAGATAAAAAAGGAGCAAAGCTTAGGTGTTAGATATTTCAAATTTAACAAAATCAACAGTGTCAAAGAACAAATTGCAAATACCAAATTTTACGTATATGTCGTTTTGAGACCAGATCATGAAGGATTAATGAAATTATTACAAGAATATCCATATCACGTAGAAACATTGCTTCAAGTTGCAATGGTCTTGTTGAGACAAGGTGACAACAAATCAGCTAGTAGTGCATTAGTGGAAAGAGCCTTATTTGCCTTTGATAGATCTTTCCACAAGAATTGTCATGAATTGTTATCCCAAGCAAAGACGGGATTAATTAGGCTACCATATGAAAAGTTCATGAATAGACAATTTTACTTGTGTTTATTCAGATATATAATTGCCCTTGGGGAAAGATCAACATTTTTCACAGCTTTGTCATATTGTAAGTTCTTATTATCTCTTTTCCCAAGTGAAGATCCATTGGGTGTGAGATATTTCATAGATTATTATGCCATCATGAGTGAAGAATATAAATATTTGATCCAATTTGCCGAGTCACCTTTGACTACCACTTATACTAAATGGTATACACCAGGTATTGCATATTCCACAGTTTTGGCCCATTTAAGATTAGGAGATAAAGAAAAGGCAAAGATTGCATTAAAACAGGCATTTGAAGCCCATCCATACACAGCATTCAAATTATTCGAAACCGTGGGCTTAGCTAAAGATATTAGTATCAAAGAAAGTGAATTCACAATCAACCGAGAAGTAATGGTTTCCACAGAGACATATCTTGTTAGAGCCGGTGCTCTTTGGAATAAACACGACGAGGTACAATTTTTACATGATGAATTAAAAGAATTGTTTAGTTCAAGAAAACAACAAAAACCAGGCAGATTGGAAGGTGTCAAAGCATCTATTTATGAATTTTTAGGATTATCAACTGCTGAAGAGAAAATGGACGGAGAAATTCCAGTTAATTTACTTAGATTTACGGTACTTTCAGGAGAGAGTAGAATTATGGCAAAATTACCCGAACATTTTTGGTCTCGTGAGGATATTCATGAATATGATGTTTTACCTCCAAATCCATTACCTATAATGTTTGAAGGGGGCCGTATATTGGAAGATGCACATGATAATAAAACCGTGACTGATTTATTGTTTTATTATCTTAATCAAGAGTTGCTTTCTTCTATTTTGCTATCAGGATCCGAAGAGCCTGGTTTTGATGAGGCGGCCATGAGAAGGATTGAAGCTGCATTTCGGGATATAGATATAGATCGAGTTCAATTGGATGACGATCCTCAGCGTCTAGTGGATATGCTAAATGAACTTGAAGAGTAGTTTACAATATGTAGAATACTATAATAAATTGTTAACGTCGTTTAAAATTTTCAAAAATCTTTTTTCTTCTCGTTTGCTCTCTGACAAAAAAAACAGAATGATGAATAATAAACAACAACGTATGATTAACCTTTGTTGTTGTTGTTTGTTGTGTTTGTTATATTAACTACTAATTGAAGATGATTGCCATTGATCTTAAGTTTGAAGAATGGCAATGGCAGTATCAAATATCAACTACCTTTTTCATTTGTGTTATATTACCAACTTTATATTATGTTTATGCTAAATATATTACTTCAAGTCCAAATAATTATAATAAATTAGAAGAACCAATCAAATTACAAATTCAAATTCCTGATGAAGCAAGACCTCATTGGAAAGGTAAGAGATTATATCCTCCTAATCTTTCAATTAGGATTCCAAATGAACCAAATAAGATTCAAAGTTATTGTCCAGCAACTGGTCAATATTTAGGAACTACAAATGTAACTTCTCCAGAAGAAATGGATATTCAAATAAACAAAGCTAAAAAGGCACAAAAGGAATGGAAGAATTCTTCATTTATCTTACGTCGTAAACTCTTGAGAACTTTAACTAATTTCATTCTTGAGAATCAAGAAAATATCGCCAGAATTGCTTGTCGTGATAGTGGGAAAACTAAATTGGATGCTCTGATGGGAGAAATTATGGTTACTCTTGAAAAATTGAATTGGATAATAGCCAATGGTGAAAGAGCCTTAAGACCTTCTCAAAGACCAGGTCCTTCAAACTTTTTGATTGGTTTAATGAAAAATGCCGAAATTAGATATGAACCTCTTGGGGTTATCGCAGCAATTGTTTCTTGGAATTATCCTTTCCATAATTTGATGGGTCCAGTTATCGCCGCTTTGTTTTCTGGAAATGCAATAATCGTTAAGTGCTCAGAACAAGTAGTTTGGTCTTCAAAATGGTTTATTGATATGGTTAGAGCAGCATTGAAACTGTTGGATATAGATGAAAATTTAGTACAATTGTGTTGTTGTTTCCCAAATGATGCTGACCACTTCACATGTCATCCAGGATTGTCTCATATTACATTTATTGGATCCAAACCAGTTGCCCACCATGTTGTTCAAAGTGCAGCTAAAGAATTGACTCCTTGTGTTGTCGAATTGGGTGGAAAAGACGCAGTGGTTGTATTGGATGATGTCAAAGATATCAATGCTTTAGCTTCTGTCATTTTGAGAGGAACATTCCAGAGTGCTGGACAAAACTGTATCGGTATAGAAAGAGTCATCTGTCTTCCTAAAGCCTATGAAAGCTTAGTAGATATTTTTACGAATAGAATTAAAGATTTCCGTTTGGGTTCTGATATTGATCAATCTGATGAAATTGACATGGGGGCTATGATTTCAAACAATAGATTTGAAGAAATAGAAGAATTAATAAAAGATGCCGTTAGTAAAGGTGCAAGATTGATTCATGGTGGGAAGCCATATCAACATCCAAACTATCCACAAGGTCATTACTTCGAACCTACTTTATTAGTCGATGTTGATCCAAGTATGAGAATATTTCAAGAGGAAGTGTTTGGTCCAGTTCTTACTATGATCAAGGCAACGGATGCTGATGATGCTGTTCAAATCGCCAATAATACTGTGTACGGTTTAGGTAATTCTGTATTTGGAAGTAATTTCAAGCAAATCAATGAGATTGCTAATAATCTTGAAAGTGGTAATGTTGCAATCAATGACTTTGCTACATTCTATGTGGCTCAACTTCCTTTTGGTGGTTGCAAGAAATCCGGTTATGGTAAATTTGGTGGAGAAGAAGGTCTTACTGGTTTGTGTAATGCAAAATCTGTCATTATGGATAAGCCGTTGTTAAGGTTATTAGGAATCGCTACGAAAATCCCTCCACCTATAGATTATCCTATTAAGGATGATAAAGCTGCTTGGAAATTTGTTCGTAGTTTGAATGTTGCTGGTTATGATAACAGAATTTGGGCCAAGATAAAAGCATTTAATACCTTGGCTAAAGGTGGGAAGTAAATATGATTTCTTTTAGGTAATGATTTCCAACTTTAAATACTTGTATATTTGTTGATCTATATATATAGAAAGGGGACCTTAGAAATAAACGGGCTCAAAATGTTTATAGTATAATGACATGTAAAATATTGATAATCTCAGATAAAGTAACTCCGGAAAGGAAATATGGACATTCATAAAAATAGAACTAAAGACTCAGACAATGCATTATTATTTAGCAGCATTGATATGTAATTCAGGTGTTGGTTTAACAGTAGCACCTACTAATAATTTGATAACAGCTTCCTTCTTCTCGGCATACTTGGCTTTAATATTTGTCAATTCTTTTTCAACTTGAGCATCGGCTTCTTTATCAATTTGTTCATTTAATCCTTCGTGTTCTTTTTCATAAGCTTTCAACTCTTGTTCCTTTTTCTTTTTATAAGCATCAATTTCACCTTGAGCATCTTGTTTGGCCGATTTCAAACGTTGAGTTCTATATTTTCTAGACTCATTGACAATTTCAGCTGCTTCCTTTTCAGTCTTCAATAATGATTGGATTCCCGATGACATTGATGTAGATACTCAATTCCTAAGATATATATGTGTGTAGTAATAATTGACAGCGCAACTGGGTTCTTTCTTGTACTTAAAGAAAGCTAATCCTTATTAGGGGATCCATGCGCCCATACAAAATCTTGAATTTTCAAAAATTGGTCGTGTATTAATGCACAATTATTTCTAATCTCTATAAAGTCAACCCTATAAATAACTATTAGGACCTATATATGTCCTATCTATACTTTACTAATAACATTGTCGTGTATTACTTCAACTGGTGGTTTCACATTACCACGACACTTAACTAAATTCCAAATATGATGTACTACTCCAAGCATATTAATGATGCAAATCACAAACAAACAAATTGCATAAATACAACTTACAACCTTGAAGAATTTCAAGTTGATTCCAAGCGCTGTTGCCTTTGAAACTTCAGAATTAGCCAAGGACATTGTTCCAATAGGGAAAGTAATTGTCCAGAATCCTTTATTCCATTTTATGAGTCCAAAGGTTTTCGATGTTAGAGCCGAATCTCGTTTGGTTGCAAAAGGTTTGATTTTCGATAACGTTGATGCAATGGCTATAAATGTGTAGATATATCCTCCAGCTAATAGACATAAAGCAAATAATGCACAAGGAACCCAAAATGACTGACCTAGTTGCTTATCTGGTATAAAACTATACATGTTATTAGCGAACAACATCATATTATAACTACTTTGACCAACAAATCCAATAGGAATAAACATAGTAAATATCTGACCCGTTTTTGGAATCTTACACAATACAAACCGTGCCATTAGAATTGCACCAATCCCATGGAAAAGAACCAATGAAACAAAGAAAAGTATGAGTGATGCTATTTCGGTGATAACTCTATGGTTAGTATTGGTCAAATTTGCAGCAATTAAGTGACCTGAGGATGAAACAACACATGGACAAACAATTGGCATCAACATGGTGGCAGTAAACTGTTCAAGTTTATGACTTGTGAACTTTGACAAAAATGTGAAAAAGAATATGAAAGTTGCATTATAGACCGCGATAACAACTGCAATCCACCATAATACCCATACGAGATATATATGCCTCTCGTGAACCAATAAATGAATGGCATTGACAATTGTTGTGAACCCCATGGAGTATACTGCTATGAAAACAGACTCATTAAGATCAGTGTGATATCTTCGAAGTCTCTTGGGATGAGCCCATGCATTCAAAATGAACATTATATTCGTTGTTATAAAAATAACCATTGTTATACAGAACATTATTATACCACAAATTTTCAACCATTTGGCTGGATATGGGAAATTGTATAAGATATTTGCAGTAATACCAGTACCTAAGAACCCAACAAAGTATGATGGACTGAAATTGTGAATGAATTCTTTCCTGAAGAATTCTGAGGCTGTTTCTACAGATTGGATACTTTTCGATTCTATGCATATCGATGCTGAAGCTATCTCAGTAGATAATGACGAACTTTGATCCATAGTTGTCATTTTTTATTTGATATTAGTGTAGGAAATCTAATTCACCTGTCTATTTTTTTGCCTATACACAAGTTCAGTAGAAATTCTTCACTATTTAATCATTTCTCCAGGTATGTCTCATAGCAAAGTGACTAACAACAAGTAGAAATCTTAGCATCGGCGATTAACACAAGAGTTGAGCTTTTCTGTCGACGATAAAAGGCTGACAAATCATAATTTCACAAAACCATTGAAATCGATGTCCCCCACACTGTTTTCCACGGAAAAACCAACGGAAAAACGTCTATGCCACGGATGCAGGTACCCTATAAAACTCTAAAAATAGACCTATTCATTTATCTCTATATAAAAGATGAAATAATACTACAACATATAACTAAAATAACGTAATGGTATTTTGGCACAGATTAACGGATGTATCGGCAACATCACTAAATGGATTACTTTTTTTGGTTAACTTTAAACGATTGTTCAATTCTTTACCATGTCCGATTCGCCTAGAAATAATAGCCATCAGAGATGAATCTTAACATATACTCGTCAATATGGCCAATTCCTTCTTCGAAATCAACATCCATTTCTTCGTCGGCACCACTTAGAGCGTCAGGCGCAGGAGTTTGAGCTGGTGTCCCAGCAGCCGTTACAGACTTACTTTCATCTTGGAAATCTTCATCATCAATAGCAACTTCCTTTAATGCGGCACCAGCAGCCACTCTATCCTCTTCATCTTCTGCCTGAGCAAAGACATTACCCATCTTTACATCACCCGAGAAATCAATGGTTCTATCCGAAATATCATCTCCAATGTTCGGATCGCTAACAAGATCTTTGACTGAAAACTTCCCAAAGTAGTCGGTAGTGAATTCACCTTCTTGAATAACCACATTGTCTAATTGTTTCTTTTGGTTTGCCTTTTTAAGAATATTTGATTCTATAGTATATTCAGAAACAAATCGATAAATATGAACGTCTCTGACTTGTCCAATTCTATGACAACGATCTTGACACTGTTTATCCATTGCAGGATTCCAATCCGAATCATAGAAAATAACCGTATCTGCACCGGTCAAATTAATACCCAACCCACCAGATCTAGTAGACAAGATAAATACTGGGATTTTTGGGTCTCGATTGAATTTTTCAGTCAAAAGTTGTCTGTCTTCAATCTTGGTTGCACCATCTAATCTCATATATCTATAACCATGAATATTCAAGAATTGCTCAAGAATGTCTAAAACTTTTGTCATTTGGGTGAAGATAAGTGCTCGATGGCCCTCGGATGTTAGCTTTTGCAATAAGGAAGCAAGCTTTTGTAATTTCCCACAATCATACTGTAACAAAGACTTATCTGGGAACGCAATTGACAATTTGACTTGGGATTTATGAAACGGATTTTTGATTTTCTTACGGGCAATTTGATTCTTAATTTTATGTTGAGTTGAAATTGGTATCAACTGATCTTTCATATCAAGTGCAACTACGGATGGTGTAATAATGGAAAACTTCTCGATCGTTTCACTCATTTGCGTAACCCTTTGTGGAATAGTAATCAAAAACTTATTTAATAATTCATTTTCGTCAAAACTAGTCTTCTTTTTGGTAAGGAATTTATGTAGTGACTGACCATAAATTGGTTTTCGACCACACCTCAATGAATTTAAATATAAGGCGTGGGTCAACTTTTCTCGAAGTTCGATTTGTTCATCAGCCTTTAAATACTGGTAGTAGTTCACATAATCACTCACATCGGTTTTTGTACTAGATGAAAATCCATTCTCAACCAAAGCTAATTTCGATACCTGATTTTCAAGGGGTTTGGATGATTTCAACTTGTCACAAGATTGGGCAACAAAACAATTCAATCCTTCAGCGTTAGTAATATCAAGATTCAAGACAGTAAAATCGACATTGTTTTTGAAACTACTATTCTCAACCTGCCTGGTCACTAAATCACTGGTCATTTGATAATATGACGGAACTGATCTAGGCATGGCAAACGACGTGACAATTGGCCTAACTTCAAATAAATCAGGATGATTACACACCTTTCTAAGTTGCATTAAACAGTTAATGATTGAAAGAAAGTTCCCAGATGCCAAAGTTTCCTTGGTTTTAGCTCTAGACATAAAGTCATCATATAAGAATCTCTGTCTGTTCGATAAACGACAATACACAATATGTTCATACTTCCCAGGCATTTGCTTTTCGACATCCTTTTTCAAACGACGTAATAAATATGGTCTCAAAACTTGATGCAATCGACTAACAGTATTTCTTGTCTCTTCATCCATCTTCAGGGTAGTTCGTTCATTCTCATCAACTATATCTGATGTATTTCCCATAGTTGTCTGTTCCAATATCTTATCCACTGGCTTCCCAAACCATTGCTGGAAATCGTCCAAATTAGCAAATCCCTCAGGCATAGCTTGATTGACTTTGGATGAAGGCATCAAGAAATATAATAAGGACCATAATTCTATCAAATTGTTCTGTAATGGAGTACCAGTTAAAAGCAACCTATTTTCTGTGTTGAAATTTAATAATGCTCTCCAACGTGTGGATCTAAAATTCTTGATATTATGAGCTTCATCTAAAATCATATATCTCCATCTTCTTCTCTTAAACGATTGTTGATCTTGAACAACCAATTGATATGAAGTAATACATACGTGGAATGCATCGGGTCTGTTCCAACCTTTTCTTTTCTGAGCTCTTTGTTGAGGGGAGCCATAATATGTTAATAATTTAAAACCAGGTGCAAATTTCTTAAACTCCATTTCCCAATTCAACATGACCGAAGTTGGAACGATGATTAAATGTGGTCCCCAAATGTGATGTTCACATGCTAAATACGACAACAAAGAAATTGTTTGAATGGTTTTCCCCAATCCCATTTCATCTGCAAGGATTCCATTTGTGTTGTTGTTATACAAACTGGCAAGCCAATTAAGACCTTGTTTCTGATATGGACGTAATGTTCCTCGCAAAAGGGATGGAATGGGAACATCTCTAACTTTGGATCCATTGATAACTTCCATATCTTCGTCATCCTCTTGTGCTTCCTTTTCTGTTTCATTCGGTTTGATGTGTCCATTTTTCTCTAGATCCCCATTTTCCTGATCGCTCTCATTTTCGGAAGACGACATGAATTCATCCTCACTTTCATTTTGCTCGTCACTCATTTCAAAATCTTCTGCTTCACTGGATTCGTTTTCATCCATTGCTCCATTGAATAGGCTTGCTAAACCACTTTTTGGTGTTTCCAATCCTCCATTTGCGTTTGCTTCTTGTTCTTCTTCTTCTCCTTCCATCGTTTCATCTTCTTCGTCAACATCGGACATCTCAGAATCTGACATATCACTACTTTCATCTGAATCTAAAAGCGGATCTTTGCTGGATTCGGCTTCTTTGCTCAATTTATCTATCAATTCCAACTGTTCTTTGGTGTACTCTTCAACAGGTGCAGGGCTCTGGGAAACTTCATCAACACCATATAACGACGCAAGTCCGCGACTAACATCAGTTTCATCTCCATCATCCTCACTTTCCAGTTGTTCTAGCTGTGAGCTGTCTGCCTCAACTTCCGAGGATACTGCTCCAGATTCACTTGCCTCATTTTCTGAAGCACTAGTAGACGAACCAGTTACATCCATGGTTGCATATTTCATCTTTAATTGCTCTATTGAAAGATTCATATCATCAAGATCTTCCACTTTTGAAGTTTCTTCTTCATCCGAACTGGAACTAAAATTATCTGAATCTTGTCTATTTAATTCATCAGCACTGGTAATATCAGCAGTTTGTTCTCTTGAAGATGGATTCAACTGGGCTTCCAATAACTGGGTAGAATGTTCTAACATTTGACTCAAATGCTCCCTACCTTTGATCTGTTTAAGTTCTTCTTCTTTCTCATTTTGGATATATTTATATACTTTATATGCCTGATTCCATCTTTTTCTGACTGCTTGCATAGCCATTCTACTAATTCGTTTAAGGTTTTGTTCTCGTTCTCTTGAAAGTCTCTCTTTCTCCCCCTTCTTCTTTTTGAAGTGTTGTTCAATCATCTGGGCAACTTTCCTTGTTCTCAATTGATGCTGTCTTCTCATTTGTTGATGTACCTTGGAGAATGCAATACCCTGTGAAATTAAGTGATCATGGTGTGTATAAGTGTTTTGCACACCTTGCAGTTTTGGATATAAAGTTGCAGTCAGTCTAAATGGATCAGTAAGTCGCGTGGATGTTTGAGGAAGTACTACTTTACGCCTTTCTAACTTGTCAACGTTCAACTCTAGACTATTCTCTACTGTGATCTTATGCTGTATGCTCTTGAACATGGATTCTTGTTGTTGCATAATAGACTCATATTCTTGGGCTGTATAATTAAAATCAGGCATGTTTGCTTCATCTATAATGGGAGTTTTAAATTCATTATCTAAAAACAGTTGAAGCTTATTTGATACTTCTGGAGCCAATATAGTTTCATCCTTAGATTGAATAATGCTTAAAGAGGAAGGATCAAATTCAACAATTTTATGCTCTTCTTGATCAGCCATTTTCTCAAACTTTTGTTGTTTCTCAGGTTTCCATTTCGGTATATGTGATGGATGAGTAACAAAAGATGGTGGAATTGTAAATTTAATACTTTTAAACCTAGAGCTAGGCCCTTCTTCAATTCCCACGGCCACCTCTTGCTCTTGCTCTTGCTCTTCATCTCCTATTTCCTCTATAATTTCATCCTCGTCTTCTTCATTTAATATTTCTTTCCTAGGTGGTCTTCCTCTTCGTCCCGGGGTTCCGGGTGGCCTGCCTGGTCCTCTACGCCCTGTAGTTGCAGGCGGTCTTCCAGGTCCTGGTCGACTAGGCGGTCTTCCTGGACCTGGTCTTCCTGGTCGTCCTGGCCGTCCTGGCAGTTGTTGTTCTTGTTCGATTTTAGGCTGAGCCTCGTGTTTTGGTTTTACTTTATTTGCATCTACGGCAGTTCTGTCTTCAATTCTATTAATAATACTTGATTCGATTTCATTGCTTCTTTCAATAACGTTATTTCGAAAGGGAAATTTCTCTATTAAAGCCTTTTCTCGGTCGGCCAATATCTTCTTCTGAAATCTTAAAGGTAATGTTTCCAATTCCTTATCATTCTCAATCTCTTCATCCCACACTAATTTATATTTCTCATCTTTTATGAAATCTTCAAATTGATCAGGTATCTGAGGTTTTGCAGATTGATGAGAGTAATCTGCTGGGTTATAATATACAATTGATTTGTATTCCTTTAATGCAAATAATTCACGGACCGCAAAATTGAAGTCCGTAACAATATGAGACAATCGTTCTTCTTTTGTTTCGGTATGTTTTTGAGTGTCGATGCTTCTGTTTAATTTCCTTTTCTTGTTTCCGTTGGCAGTTGTTGTTTTTGAAGGTATTGATTCAATGTACGTAGTTTTTGCTTGTGTATCATCGGCAGAACCGTGACTTAGTCTTGCCAGTCTGCGTCTTCGCACCTCCGATACTGGCATATTGGAATATTCAGTTTAAATAGTTGATAAAACAAAACTTGTTGGTTGCTTGTTGTAAGAAAAGCAAACTGGTTGTAAAAAATTCACTTCCTTCTCACAACAGCAAAAAAAAAATGATCGCTTTCTAACGGCACGCGTTATTTCCAAAGGGATATTAATAGAGAGACTACGGAATTCAGCAGTAGGGATTAGTACTCTATAGAGTTGGCCGAGTAAGCTTGCTAGATTATTGGAGAACCTCGTTTACGAATCGTCTTGTCTGAATACGAGGGTAAGAAATTCCCTCGTAAGCAGTGCTTTCGCGCAGAGTGTAGTTCTTAGCGGATGCGAATATCAGATCCAGTATATGGGAGATCAATTAGACGGTAACAACTCTGAAAATAAATATACATTGTTTTATTAAAATAGAATAAACAGTTATGAAATGCTAAAAAGGTTGGTGGGATGTATCGTGGAAGTAAAAAGTAAAAACAGCAAAACCAAAATATAAAAATAATGATACCTTTGATGAAACGGAAATGTATTGAAGTCACATTCAACTGCGTAGTCTCATAAAGTACAATTGCTTTCCATTCCAATTGCTTCAGATCATGTAATAGTCATCAATGCATTTGAATCGTCTCAAGAATAATAATCTTCTCAAACATTGATAAAAGCAGCATTGGCTTTCAAATATTCTTCTTTTTGGCTAATAACTACATCATCTACAGGTAATATACCACATTCTTCTTCGGCAGTATGATCTACTCTAGCTTGGAAAAGATGTGCATCTGTTTCATCCTTGGCACCCATATGTGTAGCTAAACCATTGTAAGGATAAGATCTAATCATGGCTGGTTTTTCAGGATTCATTTCGAAATATGCAAGCAAAGAAAAGAATGCAATTAAAGAACCAAAGAAATATGCATTATGTTTTAAGGCAGTCTTATCAGATACATAACTCCAACTATCTGGGGACCAAATATCATACATATCTTCGTCGAAATTCATTGGATCGTTTTTATTTCTTAAATTTTGAGGATCGTCATATTTAGCATATGGATCTTTATCTTGAGCCAATATTTGTGATTTTGGATTTGGATAGTTACCCATTTGTGGACGATCTGGGTCTGTTAATTCAATGACTTCATCAGTTAAATGGTCAATGATTGTAGCTTTTTGTTCTGGTTTTGAAGCCAACGTTCTTCTAGTGACTAAATAAGCACTATTTAACCCAATTCTTCTGTTGTTAACCAAAAGTCTGGTTGTGGTGTTTCTTAATCCCAATCTTGATATCATTTTGCGTTCTATTACTTTATCTCCTTTAAGAAAGGGTGAATGGTTTAATAGGATTTTGCGTTTTACAGTATATATTGGATTTTTTTTTTCAGTTGTTACCCAAAGGAAAACAGAGGGAAAAAAAAGGAGAACCAATGAAATTGAATGCGAAAAAAACCATAAGCTGATTACGTAATCTACAAGTAGAGCATCGAATGAAAAAGTTCAAAGTGAATGTCCTTTTAAATGATTGGAATAAAAAGTCATTAGACGTGTATACGTATGTAAACTATGTATATTACATAATGGGGAATAAAACAACACTGTTCAAATAATGCGTGTGCGTTTATCCATAAAGAAACATGAAATGAAATAAATAAAAAGGGATGTTGTAGTCGTTTACTCTAACTAATCAAGTATCAACCGGTCAGGAATGCCCCTACATTCTTTGAAACGAACTTTCAATGCAAATATTAGTCAATTTATTGTTGATTTCTGGATGAAGCTTGAGATTGACCATAATGAAGTTCTTTCATTGGAGAATTTTCACTATTAGCAACCAGCAATAATGCAGCAAAACCATCAAGCCCAGAACCCATCCATTTACCAAAATATCCGACACCAGCAATTAAAGGAACAAGCATGAAAAGAAGGGAAGAGTTATAGATATTCCAATATTCATGTACTGGTGGTGGGTTCAAGTTGAAATTATATTTATTATTAAAAGTGGATTCTTTAGCTGCTTGTGCAGTATGTTGCAATCTCTTAAATGTTATTCTTCCGCTGGTTCTAAGTGATCTGGAAAACATTCTTTCTATATATATATGGTGTTTGCAATTCCTAGTAGTACTTCTAAGTGATAATTGTAAGTTAGTTATTTGAGTGTTTTCCTCAAGACACTTTTTTTTTCAAAATCTGTGTGCTACACGACCTTTCATTGATGTGCAGGAAATATCTTTATCACTGGCTGTACCAAGTAGCCAGACTCAATCTAGTCGAAGGAGTTTCAAATGTGGCAAGGATAATATAAGACACTGGTTGGTTTGAAGGTCTAACTACCTGGGTCCATCTATTATGGTAATTACGTTTTGTATAATAATTTTGCTTTTGTAACCAATTTTTGTGTAAATTAACTACTAAACCTAGTACTTGAAGCTTACATTTTACGATGTTGCAACTACAAAGTGGGAATATCCACTCAATCTACATAAGCAATATAGAATTCTACTTAATGATATTAGTATATGAATAGTAATAAAGGGATCTCGTTGCCATCCAAACAACATTTACAGGTGAAAGAAAAATACGCCGGTGATAGGTCAATAAAAAATGGTTGCAAAAAAAACTGTTGGCTTTTTCTTTTAGCTTCTTTCTATCGTAGGGAAAACAACAAGTCTATAATCAAATATGAGCAGCATATTGGCATCATTAGAGTTATCCTCTTTAAATAATTCATTCTTCAGCATCCACACAAACTTAAACGAATCAATTTTAACTACTAGTTGTATCGTGCCTTTAAAATCTCAGGAGCTTGTAAAAATAGGCAGATCCAAATCTTGCAATATCCAAGTTGAAAGTGATTACGTTTCACTGCTTCATGGTATCCTATGGTCTGTTCAATTTGATGAAGATACCCCTCCTTTGTTTTACCTAAATGATTCTTCAAGAAATGGAATAATTCATAATCATGCTGAAATCGGTAGCGGCAGAACAGTTATTCTAGAGGATGGTGATATTATTGAGTTAAAACTAGCTGCTAAATTTGTATTCAAATGTATAAGATATGAAATCCACTGCCTGATCAACTTTGAGTCTATGATCGAAGGATGGGAGGTTAGCAATAAACTTATTGGCTCTGGTTCGTTTGGTTCAGTATATGTTGCCAATAAACAAAACACCAAAAGTCTCTTCGCGGTGAAAATTATTCCAAATGCACATTCAAGTTATTTTCCTTCCAGTAATTCTAATAAGAAAACTGAATCCAGTATGCTATTCGAGGTTCGACATGTATGTGTACTATTTTTACATCAGTCCAATTAGACTAATAAATACCAACTACTCTACAGCCTAATATAATCAAAGTTCATGATGCGATAACTATCGATTCAAATTTGTACATCTTTCAAGATTTAGTATGCGGAGGTGACTTGTTCTCCTACTTAATTGATGGAAAGTTCTTGAAGCCAATTGCCGAACCAGAAGCAATTCTCATAGTTTTTCAATTGATGCAAGCCTTAAACTTTCTACACAGAGAATTGTCCATTGTACACAGGGATTTGAAACTCGACAACATTCTACTAGAGATACCCATCCCCCAGTCTAAAATATACCTTTGTGATTTTGGCATCGCTAAATATCTTGATAATTCACAACAAACAACTGATAGTTGTGTTGGTACGATTGAGTATTGTGCGCCAGAAGTATTTTCTAACAATACAAAATTTGAACCTTACATTCTGCTGCAGATACCCAATGATGGTTATAATTTCAAATGTGATCTATGGTCGCTTGGAGTGATTTGCCATATTCTCTTATCTGGTATCTCGCCATTTTATGCCGATGGTGATAAGGGGAACATGATTCGAGCAGCACGATTTGGTAGATTAAATCTCAACAAACCACAATTCCAGAAAATTACATCATTTGCAAAAGACTTTATATCAAAACTACTTAAAGTTAATCCCCAACAACGAATGAGTATTGAGGAATGTTTTGAACACCCATGGATTAAATCGAATAGAAAAAAATTGGATTGGTATTATTGCAAATTAATTCCCAAACAGTAAAAAAATAATTCGCAGCTTTTTTTTTTGGCTCAAGTTTAGATGGAAAGATGAGATAAAACAAACTTTAAGTTTCAATCCCCAATCATAATCCAAAATATACATCAATGTCATACAACAATTCAAGCTACCGTCCAAGGTCTGGTGACCACTACGTACCGAGAGATAGATCGAGGTCACAACAAAGTTATCAAAACTACGATTCATCAAGAGGTGGTGGCGCTGGTACCACCTACAATAAATATCAAAATCGAAACTACAACAGACCATCGCCTACTACAGCAGCACCACGAACTCCCTACAGATCCGGAACAGCATACAAGCCACCTTCTTCATCGTCATTCCAATCTAGGCAAAATGTATATAATCAATACGGGTCAAGATATACTGCCACTGACAAACAATTTCAATTATGGATGGGTGATTTAGATCCAACATGGACAGAAGAAACCATTGAACAAATATGGACGTCATTAGTTGAGAAGCCAGTCTCAGTGAAAATAATTCGAGATAGATTCAATACCTCTAAGATTCCATATTGTTTTGTTACTTTCAATAGTCAGAATGCCGTAGATTTGGCTGTTCAACGACATGCACAACAAGTTCCAGGTTCGTCAAGGACGTTTAAATTGAATCATGCAGGTAGCAGTGGTGCTGGAGGCAGTCAACAATCTTTTAATAGAGGAAGTGGAGCTTCTGGTTCTGCTGCTGGTGGTTCTCAGAATGATTATTCGATGTTTGTTGGTGATATCTCATTTGAAGTAACTGATGTTTTATTATTTGATAAGTTTAATTCTAAATTCCCTAATCAAATTAAACTGGCAAGAGTGATCATGGATCCTAATACAGGAAAGAGTAAAGGTTTTGGTTTCGTTAGGTTTTTCTCATCTGAAGCATTCAATAAGGCACTTGTAGATATGAATGGTGTTACGATTGGTTCCAAACAAATTAGAGTAGGCGTTGCATCGAGTTCTTTAAATGAAACCACCCAATCAAGTACTTCTGCGGCACTGAAATTGGATTATAGAAGAATACAAGTACCTCAACCTCAACCGGAATTTAATCAATTTACTGACCCTAATAATACCAGTTTAATTATTCGTGGTCTATCATCTAAAGTAACAGAGAAAGAACTCGAACAGCATTTTATTGCATTTGGGGATTTAATCTATTGTCAAATTTCTGATGATTTAAAAACGGGATATATAAAATACTATTCAAGGTCGTCTGCCGAGACAGCTGTTATGTGGTTGCATGGTCAAATGATTAATGATTGTCGATTGAAGATAAGTTGGGGTAAATCTGTTCCAGTCGAAGGTGAGAAGGTAAAATATGCACCAAGTTCGGATAGGAGTACTCTGTATGAGAAGTCAACACCGGCACCACTACTTTTCCATTCTAGTGGTGACTACTATCATAATTACAGATTGGATACTTTAGATAAAGATGAAATCCAACAATTCTCGCAATGTCGTGATGGAAGTGAGACGGTTTCAACCAATGAAATTAATGAATTATATACCAAATCTAAAATCTATAGGGAACAACTTTTTGAATCTTCTATTTATTAGCTAAAGTTTATCTAAATGCATATCACGAAATTTTCCAGGACAATTTTCTTGAAGATCTTTCTGATCATCATATCGATGGCCACAATAGAAGCAATAATTGCGTGAATCTCGCAAGTAGTCAAGTAATGATGAATGCGTAGATTCGATATCTTCACCTAACTGCTCTTCAAAACTGATACATGTCGAGCTTTGCGCTTTATATTTATCGTCAGTCGACTTCCACTTAGTTCTATTTCGCCTAATCTCAAGATCACATACATATGGTCTCCATAGTTCATTAACCGCTTCAACGTCATTGTTTTCGTAATAAGCATCCAACTCTCCATTTAATTCTAAACACAACTTCATTAATTTTCGGATCTCCCCAATCATTGCAACACGTGCCTGTTTGGTGATCAACCTTTCCTTCATTTCTATGGCTTGTCCCTCTGAAACTTCGGGTACTTCTATTTCTTTCGATATTCTTGCTTGTCCACCCAATCCAACTCTTCCGGTCCTAGGTTGGACCATGATAGGTTCTGTTATACCCGCTGATGAGGAATTCGTCATACCCAACGATTCACCAATTTTGAACCCCATTTTTTGCATAATTGACAACCCTATAGATTGACTTGACACATTGGGTTGTTGAACAAATAACGATTTCTTGATATCAGTTGGTTTATTCTTCGGAAGATCCGATTTTCTCGATGTAACAGGAGGGTCCTCTTCTTCTGGTTTGAAGTCCATATAATCTAGTTCATTTGAAACGGGTCGACCCTCGCTTGTTATGTCAGTTGAAGATTCATCTTGTGTGACTGGCGGCTTGAATAACTTCCTCTTCTTTTTACTCTGATTGTTGAGTTCCTTGTCGTGTTCTTCTGAATCTGATTCCAGTTCTTGATCCTCAAAGATGTTTCGCTTGATCTTTTTTCTTCGTAACATCGTTCAGACTATTTATCACAGCATTGTTTCTATGTTCTTCGTTGTCGCTTCTTCCCGGTGAATAAATTCAGTTCACGTCTTCCTTAACTGAAGATTTTTTTTTACTTCAATATTGAAAGTTAAACCCACACAATCATTCTTTCTATAACAGATCCCAATCCAACAATGCTACCATATCGAAAGACACAAGATCCACTGTTCAAATCACTTCCAGTATCACGTATAAACTCTTCATTGAGACTAAACCAACTATCAACCCCAAATCAACCCGCGGCAGGTGTGACGTCAATTCCCACTACTCCCCTAGCAGCACCTAGTTCCACCCATGTTTCATCACTCAACCCAATCAGAAACCTCCCCATAACGTCCGGCAATGAAAATAGTAAAATAAGAACCAAAGAAGAATTAGATCGATTTGAAAAATTACCAATTGTTGAAAAAGTCAATGAATTTGAATCATTATTAAATTCAATCTCAAATGATATATCACAATTCCGAGATGAAGAAATCGTTAATAAAGTAAAACAAATAATTCAAGTGAATGATATTTTAAAACTGAAGATTGAGGATCTAGATAAACATCGTCAATATAGTTATCAAGCCGAAAATCTATCCCAACAAAACAAGACCCTTGATGAAAAATCAAAACATATCCTAAAAGAATTAATCAAATATCGTAATGAACTTCGTGAATTACCTAGATTACCAACTACGAAAAAGTCCACGATGTTGGAAACAACTGGAGAGAATTGTGAGATTGCTGATATTTTGAAATATGCCATGAAATTGGCGAAATTCACAAAGGCTCCTGCTACTATGGGGAATATGCCATTTCAAATTCATCCTAATAATTATATATGGCCTGCTGAGGATGCATTGAGGAGGGGGATGTTGGCTATGAGTTCCCTACAGGCAGATGAAATAATTAAGAATGAGTTGGGAGATGAGGTAACCGAGGAGAGTGAAAAGCAAGATGAGGAAATAGAGATGAAGCCAGAGCCGGAGGAGGAGCAAGCTAAGGCTGAAGATAATCAAGCTGAACCTGCAGTACGTTCTCGTAGAGGATCATATGTTTATGGAGAAGAGGTGCCGAAGAAGAAAGAAGAACAAACTACTGATCTTAATTTGGATTTATTCGATCCCGACGATGAATATTCAGATTAATACAAGAAACATTATAATGTATAGAAACTTTTATAAATAAATAAAACTATTTAGTGTCTTCTTTTGGCTTTCCGAATATTTCACTTGGATGTTTAAACGTATTTTGAGCTCTCTCTCCTCCCAATATACAATCCAATTCTAATTGTTTGGAGTATCTTTTACCAGAATGTAAATGTTCCTTAACTAATTCTGCCAATCCTTCAATAAATACTTCATTACCATTCAAAGATTCTGCACGTTTAACCTTATTTGGATGATCGATTTCTCCCATAAGTTCAATATCTATTTCATGTAAGGTTTCAATATGATCAGAGGTGAATGCAACTGGAACAAGAACAATTCCAGGAACATCATCACGTTTTTCTAATTTGGATACAATCTTGGCAGTTTGTCCACCTAACCAAGCCTTAGGTCCCACTTGTGATTGCCATACTAATCGATATGGATTTGAGAATTCAAGGTGTTCCATAATCTTATATACAGTAGCAGCAACTTCAGCTGGATACGAATCACCCAAGTTAACAATATCCATAGGTAAAGAATGAGCCGAAAACAAAATAACAATATCATCTCTTTTCTCAGGAGGGAATTCAGCTAATTTCTCTTTAATATTATTGGCAAACGCATTGACTAAACCTTTGTCTTGAGGCCATCTATCAAGAAAGGTCCAATCAATTGATCTTTCAGGATCATGTATTAAAGTTTGTCTATATAATTCATTCATGGAAGATCCGGAAGTAGCATAGGAAAATTGAGGATATTGAGAAAATGCCACTGCACGTTTAATTCCATCTTTCTTCATTTGAACAAGAGTTTCTTCAGTTAATGGATTAGCATATCTAAAGGCAACATAAGGTAAATGAGGAGCATATTCTGGATTTGTCTTGTCTAAGATTTCACAAACTTTTGCACATTGGAGTTCGGACCATTTTCTAATTGGTGATCCACCTCCTATTTCCTCATAATGATGGGATACTTTTGGGGTTCTTCTACTGGCAATCCAATGAGCCAATGGCTTTTGAAATATTCCAAAAGGTATAATATCACCATCAGAAAATAATCTTAATAAGAAATCATGAGTTTCACTGACTTTTGAAGGTCCTCCCATATTCATGAAAACCACCCCAGTTGGGGATGGTGGTGTAACAGTTGAAGTAGAACTTGTACTCATTGCTCTGTAAAGAGCAAATCTTGGTTTGAACCTCCTAAGCATGGTTTTCTATGTGTACTTATATGTAGTTATGAGTTACGGTATGTGAAGTATCACCTTATTTTTTTCACTTTTCTTGAATTGTATCGTGTTTGTAGAAATGTCAATTAAGCTTTTTTGATGACGCAGTATCCCTCCTTAAGAATCAAGTGCTTCTATATCTACAGAGTTTATAAGGTTTTCACTATTGCCAAGATTCATTGCTGACTAAACTTTTTTTTTTTTCACCCGAAAAGCTTTAGTTCGAGGAATGTTTAGTCAAATGATGATGATGATCTGATCGTACCTTCTTCCTTTTTTTCTGGTGAGTGCGTACGGTAAAAATTACAATTAAAGTTTATGGTATTGGTTTATCTAATTAATCAGCTGTTTTATATCAATTAAAGGGAAGTGGTGATCATATGCATAACCACATTTTATTCATTCATTGGCTTATTATGATTTTTTAACTTTCTCTTATATGAATGATACTTCTTAGATGATAACCGGTATCTCCGAAGTATTAGTCAATTAATAAACCTTATCAGCTAAACGATCATCATTTTCTAGAATTTGTAAACCATTCATTGGAGACATTTGAATCAGGAGACAATCTTAACCAGAATTACAGACGAGGTTGTGTGTTTTGAAGTTTAGGGGATGATTAAAAAAATTGGTTGTAAAACTTTAAGTTACAATCCAGGGGGGTTTCAAAACAAAATAAATTGTTGCAAAAAAAACGTTGGTCACTAAAATGAAGCCCTTTCTCCAAAAAGGAATAGACTTGGTTCAGACAAGTACCAATTGATAAAAGGAGGTTTCAAACGATTCTCGACTGATTCGTAAAGACGTAGTGGGTTATACGAATAAGTCTTGTAACTTGTAATATTATACTATAAATATATATATAAATAATTATTAAATTAAGTAGAGATCAAATCTCACACAGAAACATACACACAACCAATGACAGCAAAGAATAACACTTATTCTTGTTTCTTGGTATCGTCATTATTACTATTATGTAATAATTCTTGTTTTTGTTTTTCATATATTTCATTAATTTCATTCTTAAAATTATTATAAGCATCTTTTAAACCTTCAAAATCATCATCACCAATAGAATGTCTTCTTCCTTTAAAGGATACCCATGCATTTCTTAAATTCTCAATTTCTTTATCAATATCTTCTTTATGTACTTTCTCAATATAATCAATTGGTGGAAGTCCCAATGTTGGACTTTCATATAAATCTGTAACTTGTAAATGTTGATGAACCAATTCTGATTCTTCTTTAGTTAATTTATATTTACCTTCTTTCTTTTCATCTAATTTCACCTTCTCTACCACAGGAGCAGCTGCTGCTTCAACAGGTTGTGGATGGAATGACTTACAGAACTTAGTAGCTTGTTTAGCATAAGGTCCTTTAAAGATAAATATAATAAGGAATGTTCCAATCAACAGATAATAATAAACAGTAGACCAAACATATAATGAATTCCTGAAAGTTGCAAGTACAAATGGTTGAGTATAGAATCCAAAAGCCAATTGAGTCATAATATAACACACAACATCATATATCTTCTTAGTAGGTTTTGGTGTCTTTCTATCCGCTTCTAAAAAGATAGGACGGAAATTACTTCTACATATTCTCCCTACAGTCTGTAAGAATGCACCACCAACAAATGTTAAATAATAACCAGGTCTAGTTCCATGCCAAAACGCACTAGTAGCAAAAGTAAATAATGTGCTCTTAAATCCTGGTCTTTTACCCTTTTTAGCCACTCTTAAATAAACATAATTCTTTAACCATTTGTTAGTATTCATATTCCAAGCTTCTAAACATACATGAACATTTTGACCAGTTTCAAATGCAATAGGATCAATATTTTGTACTCGATTCCATTTGAATGTATCGGTTTCTGGATCATATCCATTATATCCAATCCCACAAGTAATACATGCACCTTCAGCAATCGACCAAATAGCATAATATTTCAATCTATAATTAAATGACATTGCCCAAAGATAGAAAATTCTATAAATAAATCCATGTTCAGTTACAAATTCATCACTCAATAAGAAATCAACACTTAAATACTTAGGAGCTTGGAATAATATAAATGCCCATCCAAAACCTTGTAATGTTTTCTTTAAAGCTGGGATTCCACTTCTTGGAATACGTCTCTTTCTGTTCTTTCCTGGACGCTTTGAATCAGGAACATCATCAAATAAGGTTGAATGAATAAAACGATCATAATCAGCATATTCAAATGAAGGTCCAGTTAATAACGAAGCATAGAAGAACACATATCCAATATATGGTAATAAATTTGGATGTTTCTTAATTGCTCGTGATTTATTATATTCAGTTAAATTCTCACTTGGTTGTTTCCCATCGTACACATTCCATCCGAAGGCTGATAATTTAATAACAAGAATCATTTGTGCTCCAGTAATATCAATAACATTTGGATCAAATTCAACAAAGAATTGTGTATGTAAATGACTATATGCCATATGTGTCATTAAGAATAAGAAATTAACCCATGGCATTGATGGTGTTCTTAAATATCTGGTGATAACATAACATCCCATAGATGAAATTAATAATGTAACTAATCCTGAACGTAAATTCAATATTCCAAATATATAAAACGCTGATACTAATACATTATACCAATTCTTTAAACTATAACGATGATCAGGTAATCTCTTATAAATAGCACTAAATGGAAATGATAAAAGTGTACAAATTAATACTTTTAAACTTGCTTCATCTAAACCAACTACATTCAGTAGTTGGCTAATACCATCTTGTATTATGGCAATCATCTGTTTGTTGCCTCTTTTAAACTCAATTGAAGAGTAGTAACGTTGTAGTGGTTTGACTTTTTTGACGTGCCTGCGAAATTTTTATTCAATTGTGACATCATCGACAACGTAGACAATGATTCGATATTTTTTAATAGTGTCGTAAAAAGAGAAATGTCGCGACAGTAAATCTGAGGTGCTACCATTTAAACATTTATTAAATAATTACATACAAATACATACATTATCGATCAATCTTTTGCCAGAACTAATTTATATCCTCCATCTAAAGCAGTTGAAATGGCTTCATTCTTATATGGTATACTATTCAAAACAAAAGCAACATCATTCCATTCTTGTTCATTATGACATTTATTCAATCTTACCAATAATTTCTCTGATAATTGTTTTTGATGTCTGTCCTTTTCAATAAATGAAATCAAAAATCTAACAATTCTCTTCATAGCTTCCTTTGATAAACTTTCATCGGTTGATAATCCACTAAATATATCAATAAATCCATTATAAATGGCATTATCCTTCGTTGCCAATTCAGTAAAGAATAATCTACACATATCACTAATACCTTGATCTGGATTTTCAAGACATTTCGCCATAGATGCCAATTGTCCCTTGACTTTCACTTGTCCTGCCAAGATCAAAAACGTAACTGTCATTAAACAAGTACGTTGAACCATAATACTCTCATCAGTAAGACGACGATAGATGAAGTCAGTATTTTCATCAACAATATTATTGAAACAAACAGCCATATCACCTAATCCTAAGACGCAATTACATCTAATATATGGATCATCTGACTTTTCCATAATGGTAAGTAATAATGGTAAATTTTGTTCACAATATATCGAAGACACACACATTAATTTAACTAAACATAAAACAGCAGATCTTTGTAGTGTCTTATCATCATAATTCTTATTATCGGAACAAATCTTATTGACAAGCGGACCAAACCTTGCCAAAAGGGAATATTGTCCATATAATAATTCTCGTTCTTTCACATGGACAACAGCATCGGTGAAATCATCTTCAGAAGTTCCTCCAATCATTTCCAATTCATTCTCTGGAGTTTGTTCATTTGAATTATTATCAGTTCCATTTCGAGCATTTATAACCGCTGCTTTCTTTTTGGCTTCAGCTTCAAGTTTCTTCTTCTTAAATTGAGCTTCAAGTTTTTCAAGATGTACAATTGTTTTAATTGCAACATGTCCAACAATAAACAATAATTGTGAAAGTGCGACCACTTGTGATTCATCACGATCGTTATTATTTTCCACAAATACAGCCATTGATTTAGCTTTGATAACATCCGAACAAACTCCATCCGGGTTTGATGATGCTTGGTATACAGCACCAATAGCCTGTTCTGCAACTGCATACCATTCTGGATTCGTATTATATTCCAATAAAACCGATTTCAACTTCTCGATAGCTTCTTCTTCACGAGTGATTCTAATATTAGTCAAAAGATTCTGCTTACTAGGACTAGGAACAATTCTTTGTAACGCAATACATGTATACTTACACAATCCTAAATCTTTCTTCCCCCGTTCACCTAATCCAACATTCAACAATGAATCCAACCCACGAACCACAATTTCATTATCTTCTACAGCAAGCATCCCCAATATCATAACGGCCCCCCTCCGTTTCTTCCCAAATGTTTCATCTTCATCCTCATTCTCCATACTATAAATCTGCCACAAGGTCCTTATAACCTCCTGCTTAATCAAATGCGTCGAATACATCAATCCCAATAATTTCTCCAATGATGCCAAATCCGCAATCGATGCATCAAAAGTCAACCCCACCAAATTCATAGCCACATGTGCGGCCATCTCTATTCTATTTTCATTATCGGGCACAGTCAAAAACAACGCCTTATAACAATCAATCAAATGGTCAGGAACTGATTTTCCTTCATCGGAATTCCCCTTCATCCAGACTAAATGAAGCATTTTCCGGATTCCAAATTTTGCATTCTCGACTCCATAAGCGTCGGCAAGCACTAAGAAATCCATGGAATCAATGGCTTCATTTCTGTTTTTGGAAAAGAGAAGGCGAGAGACGACTTCGGTTCCGTGTTGGACTGCTTGGACGAAATCAACGGCATCTTTATAATAGCTGTGTTTTAATTTTGCTCGATATAAGACGGTTTTATCTGGTAGGTTTTGTTCTTGTTCGATTATCATAGATGTTGCCGCGTGATCTATCTCATCTTCATCTGAACCTTCTTCACTAGGTTGATCTGTTTCAATTTTATCTCCTTCATCTTCTTCTTCGTCTTCTTCAGCTATTTGACTGAGATTAATGTCTGCCCCATCTTCATCTATTTCATCATTATTTTCAATTGGAGCTGGTTTTTGAGGAGAAAGTGGTAAGTATTTAGTTAGTTCAGCCTCTGCTTCGTCTAATTGAGCTTTCCAAAAGGTATATCCAAGTTGAGTACCATGAGGACCTTGGAATGGATGATTTAATACCAATTTAGATATTAACTTAATAGTATTACGTCTGACCAAAGTACTTCTATCATCCAATGATCTAACAGCAAGCATCATCATTGTTTGTCTCCTTGTGGTAAGTTTTGCATTCAATCCTGCGACTTTTGCTAATGCTTGGAAAGCCTTGGTTCTCACATAGGGATTTTGATCCAAGAATCGGTCTTGTAATAAATCAAGAAGTTTTTCTATTTGTTGTGGTGAAGTGCCAATATTTTGTTCTTCTTCTTCCATGTCTTGTGGTTCTTCATCTTGATGTTTGATAATATCAACCACAATGTTCCCACATGCCTCAACTACAGAACATCTTAATGTATGTATTGGATTATCTAATAATTGGGCAATACTTGTCATTTGTTTGAGGATTAATCTTGGATTTAATTCAGAAAGGGCAATTAAAAAATCTGAAATTGCACGAGGTCCAATAGTATCATTTGAACTAAAACGAGTTTGAGAAATTTCTCGAAGTACTTCATCTGTTAAATAGACATAATCATATTCTTCAGCAATTAAATGTAAAAGTGAAGCCATGTAGGGGGGTAAATGTGGATAATAAGTAAGACATTGAATTATGGAATGTTGTACAATAACTCCAAGACCATGTTCTTCTACTGCTATAGCAATAGTTTCAAAGATTAAATTCTTTATTGTGATAATTTTCATTCTTTCTGGACTTTCCATAAGATTGAAGATTGGTCTAGTGAATAATTCAATATAACTGTTTCGTTCAGGGGTAGTTATGAAGATTTTCGTCAAACCAAGTTTTAAAACATTTATGATTGCATTTAAACTATTCGTTACCTCATCACAATTTGATTTCCAAATCGACATTTCTTCAACAGGTACGGTCTTCTGAGATCTACCACCAATATGTGAGAAGTCATCCTTACCTAAATATTTCAAAATTACAAACATTAAATAACCATATTTTTCTAAAGTTGATTTTATTGAATTAATTGAATCAAGAAATTCTCCATTTTCAATAGCAAGATAAGTTGATTGAGCAATGGTTGTAATGGAAGAATTTATCAAATAAATAAGTTGTTTCTGTTGTTTCTGTTCTAAAGATTTAAACCCATGAGATAACTCTATTACATCATCAAATAACTCAGTATCGTGGTCTAGTATATCAGGAGTATTGGCTAAGGCATAAGTGATGGTTTCTAACTTGGATTCAATATCTGAAAACTCAACAGTATAATCTTTATCAAGATCAAATGAGTTGAAATATGATGTTAACGTGAAATCCATTATATTGTCTTTGACCAGTACAAGTTATCTCCTTCTGAATCGTGTTGATGGGTCTCTTCTTGTGGATATCTTACGGACTAAATCAAACTGGTTAATGATCGAAGTTCTTTTCATGTTTTGATTTTTGATTAATTTGTTTACCTTTTGGTCACGTGATTAAGCTTGAAATTTGGATTTTTTCTTGTGGGTTACCCGACTTTTTGATCTCTTTCCAAAAAGCTGTACAGAGGGGAATTGGAAAATATTTATAAACTTTTTCATTTTTTGATAATTATTTGTTGAAACTTATTCCTGCCCCCCCTTTAATAACTATAAAAGCTTAATTTTGAAAGAGTGAATTACCCCCTGAATGAAATTCTCTTAAATATGAACCAATTTCCACTTTTTGGATTTGTTGAAATTGTATTTTCACTTCCACCGCTTTTATTTACACAATTTGCAGCCATTTGTGAGAATTCTTTTTTATATAACTTCAGTTATCACTACTATCAACAAAAATATAATTTCATTATTCTATAAAATGGATTCTTCATTTGAGAATTTGGATGCTAGTCAGGAACCGGTTCCAGAAAGCTTTGCCCTTGAAATGGATTCAAAAGACGAGAATTTCTCCGATTTGATACACGAACTTAAGCAAATCAGAAGCGAATTAGTGCAAAACAGAAATGAACTTAGAAACGAATTAACGCAAAATAGAAATGAACTCATACAAACCCGGAATGAGCTTAGAAATGAGCTAATACAAAATAGAATTGAAGTTCTGCAAGTGAAACGAGAAGTCCAAAGAATTCAACTATCGTTTAACTCCCGTAATGATTTAACAACAGGTGTATTTCGACTTCCAGATGAGATTTTATTGATTATCCTAGAGTATGCAAATCAGATGGATACCTTTCATTTAGCTTTAACCCATAGACATTTTGAAATTGCTTGTAAAATGAAATTGTTTAAATCACTTTATGTCTATAATGACTCTGAACCCGAAAAAGTTATCAACGTACCTAAAAAGTTGTATACTCCATTTTATAAGAAATATACAGTGGTTGCATTCACTAAATTGCTAAAGTTAATTCAGGTTCTTATCATAGACCCGAGTACCTCAAACAAATTCTTTTTGATTTTGACAAACAGGTGACACTTGAAACATTGAATACTCTAGTCAAAGGGGCTCCCCAATGTCCCTCAGGTTCCTCGATATTTGCTTTGATGATACCAAGACGTGGCTATTAAAACATCAACAAGTATCAGCCTCTGAATATCATTTATTTGGACATAGCGAAGAAGAATGCTATTCAACGGAAAGGAGGGATAATGTGAGGCGCTTGCTCTTGAAGAATCCGGCGCAGTTTTGGATTGAGCAAGAACTCGCCAAATTTAAAAACTTGAAAAGTATTAAGATTGTTGACCCACCTATATTCAGTTTGCCAAACAAAATTGTTGTTGAAGAATTGCTTTTGAGACTCAATGTTGAAACTTCGCTAAATGAAGTTCTATCTGGTTTTGATATTCGGAAAATTAAAAAAATGCTGATAATTGGTTGTACTAATCTTATGCTAGAAAGGATGCTCCCAATGGCTGCAAAATTGGATTCGCTTCATTTATTAGAGATCGGCTTTCTGGGCAAATACTGTTTACGGTCCAATGCAATTGAACTGTGGTACAGTTTCATTAGGTCTTTGAAAAGAAACACGTTAAAGGGAATTTATTTCGGGTATCTTGGCGATGTCAAGACAAGTATATTTCACGAGAATATATCGCATCATGTTCAATCTTTGAAAATTCTAAGCTTTTCGTCAATGGAGCAATTGGGGTTTCCAAGCGGAATTCCAAAACGAACTGAGTGTTATTCTTCACCATTGTAGGAAAACCCGCTCGGTTCCCTGATCTTTCACTTGGGCTGGATTAAGTTGGAGAACTTCATTTCATTGGAAAAAGTAATCATGAATGGGCGGGTTCTACTTGTTAGTAAGACCAGAGAGAAATACTTGACACCAGTTGAATTTTATGCAAAATCAGATTCGTAAACACAAGTGATTGACGCCAATCAAGCAAAGGGGAGACACATTTAGCAAAATTGGATATCATTGTCTAAAGCAAGAGTAAAAAGGTGACTTTTTTAGTTTTTATCATTTAAGTATATCCTTTATGGTTTTTTTATGTATAACTGTATGAATTAAAGAAAATCTGGAGAGGAATTTCTCACCGATAAGCTGCGCTTCATAAATGTAATAATTCGGTCTATAACTTGTGATACTGTATAGGTTGGCATCTACATTTCATAAGTCAATTGTATATGTAGGTACAATCAATACAATAGCCACATTACAGGGTAAATTCCAAATGGTTTCTATTAGAGCGGTACCCAATTGTCAATCATAAGCTTAAAATCTTTAATAAATTGTCAGTTTAATACTTTGTATATTTTTACACATAAAGACATAGATATACATAAACTCAAGAAATCCACACACAGTTAATCCTTTAATTTGGCATAACCTTTAACAAGAGCTTTTGATGTGCCCATTCTTTCATCTTCTAATGCACCTAATATGTCTTTCATAACAATAGAATTTCCGGACCTGATTTCTCTGAAACGAAGACCATTATCGCCTCTTACTGACATTATAGGACTTTGCTTACCACCTTTACCCTCTTGATCAGCTCCTACTTTCCCTACTGAATCACTCCCAGCACTTGCACTTGATGTCATCCAGGAATACTTCTTTCTACCTGGATTCATTGTCATCATAGCTGCCGTAGCATTGGCGGCTCTATGTAAGGTCTCTTCAGCTCCAGCTTTTGAATCGCCACCATTTGCATCTAAGGAAGGATCATTGGCACCTTTCTCTAATCCCAATAGTATTCTCTTGCTGACCCTTTTCTCTTCTAATTCTTTCTGCTTTACTGCCAAGTTTCTCAATTCCTTGGATAATTCTGATCTGGGGACTGAGCTTGATCCTCCGCCTGTCCTTTTCCCACTAGAATTCACACTTGGGACACCTCTTCTTCTATGTTTAGACAACATCACTGTCTTTGTTACAATCTTTGACATCCAAGCTTCGCATGCTGCGGAAAGTAATTCTAGCATATCACCATCTTGTAGGAAATTCTGCTGTATACTATTTTCTCGGGCTACTTTATTCATAAAGGCAGCTAAATGATAGTTATTTAAGAATGGCGGTGGTTTAGTGGATTTTATAATTTGCTTTAAGTCTTTCGAAACATTATCTGATTTTCTATTGAGTTGTTGTTGGAATAATATTTCTTCTTCTTGTTGAATATCAACCCCTGCCGCTGCTATTGCATCATTCAATTTTGATGGATCAGTTGTATCAAGCTTAGATTTTTCTTTGTCTTTCTCACTTTCTTTCTCTTTTTCTTTTTCCTTTTCTTTTTCTTTCTCTTTCTCGTTTTCTTTGTCTTCCTTTCCTGGTGTTTCTATACTAATCGGTATATCACTAGTGGTACTAGCAGCATTTTTTTCTGCGCTGACTTCATCCTTTGGAGGCGATACATCCTTGCTGGGCGAAGAAACATTCTGTAGCAATGTTACCGCCAAGTCTAATGGAGCATCGTTTGCATCCTGTTGTTGTGGTTGTGGAATACTTATATCGCCAAACAATTGTTCAAATTGGGCATCTTGATTGCCATCGGCTATTTTCTGTCTTTTGTTATCTCCACTAACAAGATTTGGCAGTGAAGCCTCTCGTTTCAATTGATTCTCTGGATTTGACATTTTTCAATTTGATTCTTCTGTGTATTTGTCTATTTGTCAGATTGGCTGGCTGTCTGATATGTAAACCTAAAAAAAGATTAAAGGTTTGGTGGTTTGAAATTGAAAACAAAAAAAGGTCGTGTAAAAGTGAATAAAATTTGGTTTGTCACTTCGACACAAATCATGTGACTTATGATCGATGAGCATCATTAGATTTTTGAAAAAATTATTTCAACTAAATTTAACAAACTTGTTAAAGACACCCAATAAACTCAGTTACTCCAAAAGACTCCAGAAATGTCAAGTGTTAAGACTGATGTGACTATTTTTGAAGGTCATAGAAACTTCAGATTACGTTTACTTTTATCCACATTATCAGGTAAACCAATCAAAATAACTAAAATAAGATCAAATGATATGAATCCAGGTTTAAGAGATCATGAAGTATCCTTATTAAGATTACTTGAATCAGTAACTAATGGATCCCATATTGAAATTTCATATACAGGTACCACAGTCATATATAGACCAGGTATCATAACAGGAGGTGAATTAACCCATAATTGTCCAACCAATAAACCAGTGGCATATTTCATTGAACCAATGTTATTCCTTGCACCCTTCTCCAAAAAGAAATTCTCGATTATCTTTAAAGGATTAACAGCATCAGAAAACCCAAATGATACTGGTGTTGACGCAATCAAATGGGGTTTGTTGCCAATTATGGAAAAATTCGGAGTTAGAGAAGTGTCATTACATATCTTGAAAAGAGGTTCACCACCATTAGGAGGAGGTGAAGTTCATCTTTTATGTAATTCCTTGATCCCACAACCGTTGACTATACACGCATTAGATATCCCCAAGTTTTCTGCCATCCGTGGTGTTGCATATTGTACCAGAGTTTCACCTTCCGTTGTTAATAGAATGATAGATGCAGCCAGAAAGGTATTGAAACCTACTGGTGTCGAGGTTAATATAACAGCAGATGTTTGGAGAGGTGAAAATGCGGGTAAATCTCCCGGGTTCGGAATCACATTAGTTGCCGAATCCAAGAAGGGTTGGAGAATAGTTGCTGAAGGAGTTGGGAAAGCTGCTTCTTTACCTGAAGAATTGGGAGAAAGCATTGCCTATCAACTTTTAGAAGAATTGACAAAGAGTGCCGTAATGGGAAGTTATCAATTATTATTAACACTTGTATATATGACTATTGGGAAAGAAGATGTAGGAAGAGTTAAGATACACAAAAGTCAAGTTGATGAAAGCCTCATACATAACTTAAGAGATATTCAACAAGTGTTTGCAACGGAAGCATTCTTGAAAGAAAGTACGGATGAGAAAGAAGATGAGTTTATGAATGTATCCATCAAGGGTGTTGGTTTCACTAATGTTTCCAAAAAGATAGCATAGAATATCATATAGTACCTAATACATAAATCTGACAAGTGAGAAACTACTTCGGTTCTCTCCAATTTCACCCTCTGTTAAAATCTTAATGCCAGCAATTAAGCAAGGTTGTGTTTCATGGAGCGGTAGCGTTATTGGAGTTTAGAAGTGTCAGTACCTAATAAACCTGGACGCTCTTATTTCTTCTTCCTGTACTTGTTGGTTAGAGTTATCAATTTAATTAGACTCTTTATTTACTAGTGGGAACCAAAAAAACCTGTTCATACCTAGAATTCCTTTGCTCTGAGCTAATTTCGCTCATAGACTTCCTTGACCTCGATGATTTCGATCTTTGATGTTCTTTGTTTTAGGTTTTTAGGAGGTTTTTTTGCAACCATTAAAGTGCTTCTTACGAATTGAAAAAGATAACGATTCCTATAACCGACAAATATTTATTCCTATATATACTTATATATTTAATTCTTATAACTGAAAGAAAATATCATTTTAAAACCGAAAACACAATTTTCTAGAACCAAAAACAGAATTTTAGATACCTAAAATGTTTATAACATTAAAATAGCAGCAAATGCTAAAAACCCACCAGCTCCAGGGCCGAAAAGTCCACCTTCAAGACCAGCGGCATCACCTTTAGATTCAGAACTGGCAGCTTTTGCAGACGTAGCGGATTTTACTTCAGACTTTACTGATGACATATCTGACTTTGCAGCAGAAGCCATTGAGGTCGCTTTGGATTCCATTTTGGACGCGTCAGAAGTTATATCTGACTTTACAGCAGAGGCAACTGAGGTTGCTTCGGATTCCATTTTGGACATGTCAGAAGCTACGCCTGCTTTAACTTTGGAAAGCAAAGGTGTAATCGGCTCGGGAGCATGCGAAACACTAGAATCAGTAGCAAGAACGATAGCACTGGAAGCAGTAAGGAGGAACAATGGGTTAGATAATTTCATTTAAACGAAGGATGATGGTCTAAGAATAATCTCTTCCTGAAAGTAGGGAGGAATTGATATCTATTTATACTTCAAAGAATTGGCGACCAAAACACACAACTCCACCACTGTATATCCATGGACTATTCCGTTAATAGTTATTTGAAGTCGTGTAATCGTAAATGGTAATAAAAGCAATCAAACAAATCTTGCGGCATTTCATTTCGAGGCTGCAAATTATTGAGTTAAAAATGACGTCAGAGTCCCGTAAATTCAAAGTCACCAATATACGCAAAAAAAAGAAATCGTTATCGGCTCAGAGAGGGGGCTACTTTTATTTTTAGATAATTATTTAATTGGATAATTACGTTACCGTTGGCAGACCGTTACATGGCAACCTCGAGCAAATATTCTAGAAACCTGGCTTTAGTTATGATTCTTTCATTTCTCTTCTCTAAGAAGGCTTAAGAAGCTGTTCGTATATTCTAGGGGAATTTTGATCTATTTATAGTACTCTTCATTACGTCTAATGAATATGCAATCACAACTTTGCCAACTCACACTTATAAACTCCGTAAAACTCACTAAAATACATTATCAAAATGACTAATTATTAACTATTAAATTATCTAAAAACTAAATTGTAAAACAATAGATCTACCAGAATGAACACCAACCAATATAATGTTGACATAAATTCTCTACACTAGTGGCTTGTTGAATCAATTTATCCACTTGAGTAGGAACATCCAATCCTCTAAGTCTCTTAATGTCATCACCAGTCAACTTATCCGTAATTCTCTTCAAAACCAAAGCAGCTCTTGCATTTCTAATTTCTAATTCATTCTGCTTCTGTAATCTTGCTGCTTCCTTTTCATCAATTTGACCTCGTCTTAATAATTCTGCTGTATTGACTTGAGGAACTCTAATACCAGTAGCTTCAGCGACCGCTTTAGTTGGGAAATCGAACCCCCAATTAATCAATGGATCATATGCAAATGCTTCAAGAATTGCCATTAAGGACTCCTTATTGTCTCTTAACACTCTCATGACATGCTCACAAGTAATTCGAAATGATCCCTCAATACCACTTACTTCCATGGCATAATTCAACATTCTAGTTAATCTAAATGGAACCTTTTCGGGATATTTTTCTCGAAGAATAGCTGCTTCGAAACAATCACCAAAATCAATGTGAACAACCTTACCAGTAATTCTATCCAACATCAAATTCGAAGGATGTCTATCACCTAAACCAAGAATGTACCCAACCATAGACATAACTGCCAAAGATCTTGTATAAGTAGTACGACGATCCAACCATGCTTCTGAAGATTTTGATTTCAACCACAAGACCTTATACAAATCTTGACCTCTTGTGTTATCCAAAGCACTGGTAAAGACTTCAACCTTTTGCAATAACGTCAAAATATCATAATCAGGTGCCATTTGAAGTAAAAGACGATGTTCAATATTCAACATGATACTTCTGGATTCTCTGTATCCTTTAATTAAAACATGGAAAGTATCACTATTAGGAACCCAACCTAACAAACCAACCTTTGGCGATAACGGAATTGCTGGATATTGTTGAATATCCAAATGTCTCTTGAAACATTCAGGATCATTGACTAATAAAGTATTGACTAAACCAAATAACTGCATAACTAAATTATCTTGTCGAATATCTTCATGTCCCTTCAATGCATATTGATAATCCTTACCATCACTTCCTCGACATGCAAGTTTTCTTGGTCTTTGCTTAGAAGTAATAACCGAAAACGTTGGATCAAATCTAATAATTCTAATGACAGGTTTACCAGCTTCATATGTACCGGGAACTGCTAATTCTAAATCTCTAGCTTTTTCCAAATTAGGTGAAACAAATTGTAATTCAAGACTAACCAATTGTGGTAATTGTCTAGTAATTCTTCTAAACACATTATAATAAATATCCCAAGCTTGATTCAAATTAGTAATATCCTTTGTTCTTCTAAAATTCAATACCCATTCATACGCATCTGCAAGTTCTCTTCCAAATGCATTGGCAAAAGCTTGTTCTCTCATAGTTTCAGGTCCCTTTTGTAACATTTGATGAAGAGGCTCCAAAACTTCAAACATCTTTTCGGTATTGTGTTCTCCAAAGAATAATCTCGACGCATCTTCTAACCCTTCATACCATTGTTCATGCCAAAGAACAGCAACTCTGATAAGTTCATGACTTACTAATTCTGCTTGATCAACCAAACTTGCTGAATGCAATCTCATCTTTTCAATTATTGACTGAGCTGCTCTCTTACGACTTACCGACTCTGAAGTAATGGCAACTGCTAATGGATACACCAATGCTTGTGGATGTGCTTTACCTAAATCAGTTAACAATCCAAACAAAGATCTACTAACAATTTGATTTGGTTGATGAATACGAGAAATCAATTGTGGAACAACTTCTAACCAATTGTCAATCTTGACCATATTGAACCCTTCGGTCATTGCTTGTGCTGCTTCTGGGATTCCACCAAACTTAAACCATAATGTGAGCAATCTCAACATATCTTGAAGTGAATTTGAATATGACAAAGCAATAGAATGAAAGAAACCTTTAATAGAAGGAATGACATGTCTTTGAACTGCTTCGATTGGGATGATATTAGGTTGACTAGGCTGTCTTTGTTGTTGACTTTGTTCACCATCTTCATTATTTTTCGAATTTGTTGATTCATTCTGATCAAGAACTTCAAATTTGTTATTGTTGGCATTATTTTGACTAGTGTATAATGAAATAACTTCGAAATTTGCAAGTGCCCAATTATGCCATGCCTTATACCATTTATTATCGAAATGAGTTGCCAATAAATATGCACCTAAAATGATTTCTGAAGTTTCTGTTCTCCAATTATTATTCAATGCAATCTGCCATTCACCTTGTTTCAAAAAGCATCTAGCCAAAAGTCTAGTATATTCTTCAACATGCTTAGGAATGCCTGGACCTTCTGATGGTAATGGTTGAGTTATCAAATCATTAGGATTCAATCCAAGGTCTTGTGACATTCTGGTTGTGAAATCAATTAAATGACGTAATGCTTCTGGTCTTTGTCCCTTGGCCCACATGTATTTCAATTGTGCATAAACGACTTGAGGTGGAGCCCTAGAAGGATTTTCAGGTGATCCTTCTTCCAACAATGAGTTTAATGACTTTTCTGCTAAATTGAGTCTTCCTGATTTTCTACAAAGATTGGCAAATTTGATCCACATATCCATATCTTGCTTTGGTTTGATAACTAATGCACGTACTTTTAACATTCTTTGCCATATATCCACATTTCTCTGGCATCCCAACAATCTCGTATTCCAAGTCTTTCGCATAATAGCTCTCCTGTCTGATCCTTGGGGTAAACGTTTATACTTAATAATTTCTTCTAATTCTGCCAACATTTGAACTCTAACCACAACCCCATAAGCCCTATTATAACTTTCACTCACCAACGCAGTAATTTCAGTCACTAATAAATCTCTAGCCTTTAATATATGATCGGATGCATCTTCAAAATTATTACGATGAAGACTCAAAATTGCATTGAAGAACGCTTTATCCGGTGACTCCTGTTTCATGACTTTGATACATGAATCCATTCTATCCCATTGACCTAACCCCCATGCCGCAGCGGCAGCCAATGGAGCTACACTTCTCTTGATATCACTTGATGAATTATCCCATTTACTTCTGGCCAATTCTGAAAGTTGTTCCCATTCTCCCAATGCATGGAAGCATCTCATTTTACCCATAGTAATTTCCATATCATTTGGTTCAAGCTTTTCTCTTTCATTATATGCTTTCAATGCATCTTCCCAACGTTGTAATTTCTCATACCAAGTTTCCTTTAATTGAAGATCATGATGTAATTGAGCATGTTTTAAAATTCCAATAGCCGCATCAGATTGCTGTAATTGATTATTGATACTGATTAAAGATTCGATTGTAGGGGTAGTTGGTTCTTCATAGAATTCTAATTCCTTATAATGTAAAGCCTTTGCAAAAGCATGACAACGTTGAGCATATTGACCTAATGTTGTAATGGCAATCGGTAATGATTTATCATCATGTTCCATAAATTCGGCAAGATTCAATAAAATTTGATGAATTTCAGGTGGGTTACTTGGTGATGAAAGGGCAATACATAATGCTTGAACTAATTCTTCTTTATGTTGAGAATACAATTCACTCCAACAACTTGCAAAACTAGCATTGAATAAATCTTTTGCAAGTGGATAATAATCGGATGCTAAACCAGCACAGGCCCTAATAGCATGAGAAGGACTTTGTAACAATAATTCTTTAGACAATCTTCCAATCCATTCTTGCCAATCTTCCTTGGTACGACGCAGACTGGCATCCCATGCGGCCTTCAATGCAGATTGATTCACTGGTAATTTCTTTGATGGCATATCTGAATCAGCAACATCATAATGGCTTTGATCGTAATCTTTATAAATATCCAAATGGAGTGGTAATGGATCTCCGCTAACAAGCTTTCCTACTAATTGTTCAAACTTTGGTGCATAGATCTTTTGTTCTAACAATACCTTCTTAATAACAGGAATGAAAACACCAAACTCTGGTCCTAATTGAATCAATAAATAGCTTAAAGTATTGATTGCAGGTTCCTTCAATTCATCATTACTTTGACTAAGAATTCTCAACAATGGATGGATAATTCGTGATGACATATCATTCAACATTACATTCTTGGATAATCTACCAATGGTCTCGATTGCTGCTCTTCTTAATTCAATTGGTCCTGTTTCAAAAAGTCTGACAATATTAGGCACAATAATATCCACGTACTCCTCAATATTACTTCCAAAAACAACAAAACTTCTCAATACATGCATTGCTGGAGCTCTATTATCTGACTTATCACCATCACAGACTTGTAACAACAAAGTTAAAACATCTGGTAAATACATCTTAAATTCTCCTTCTAAAGCTTTAGAAATAGATTCAATAACACCAATGATAATCACTTGGATATTTAATTGAGAATTCATCCAGAAAAATTCCTTTATTACTTCAAAAATATCATTCAAAAATGGTCGTATATGTTGTTTTACAATTAATATCATGGCACCTAATTGTTGGAAATAAAATTTCAACATTGATGGTTGACAAGTATGCATAACATTAATAATTCCTGGAATAATTTGAGGTAAGAATGAAACACATCTTAACCCTAAAGTTTGAAAAATGTACATTATCGCTTGAATAACTTTCGTATGATGTTCTTTTAATGATGGATCTTTTAAAATCTTCATCAAATTGGTGATTGCCACAGTTGGATAATATTCTTCATTGGAAGGAGACATCCCTTGCATCAACAACGCCACATCAATAGGAGGAGCATTTTGTTCAGCTGGGATATTTTTTGAATTCTGTTCAACTTCTCGATATTTATATGGATCAAGTGCACCCAAAATCCCTAATAATCTAACTGTTTCTCTTCGTATCTTAGGTGATGTTTCCAGTTTTAAAATTCCAACAAGCATACCTAACAATTGTGGATAGTCTAATAATGGCTGAATAACATACCCTGATGAAGAGGCAAGCTGTCCTAATGTTTTCAAAGCCGCATCTCTCTTATATGAAGAACTTTGATCTTGGAACGTATCTAAAATTAATGGCATCAAATCAGGTATAAATGGCTTTAAATCTTCACCTCCCACGACTGCTAATTCTCCTAAACAATTAATGGCACTAGATGCAACCAGTGATGAAGTCAAATCTTTTGCCTTTGGTAACAATGCTTCCACGATTGGTTTGACATATGGTCTGGTCAATTCCTTTGAATTTCCAATAAGTAATGCTAATAAAATGGCACTTTCTTCTCTCCTTCTACTGGTTGTAGAATATTCCAATCTTTGCAACAATTGAATCAACGTTCTTCTTAAAGATGGTACAATATATGCTGGATTAATCGATGATAATCTCCCCAAAATTCGAATGGCGACTTGTCTGATACTAAAAATTTCATCATTCAAAGCAATGAATAATAATCTGACATTATCAGCTTGAGATAATTGTGCATCAAAATTCCCTGCATTAGCTAAGCATTTTAAACCTTGTAATCTAATCTCTGGAGAAGGATCAGTAATTGAAATTGAAAGCAACTTACCCAAGACTTCATTCACTGCATTCAAAGCATTAACACTGATTTGTTGACATATTGGATCTTTAACAAATATTCCACATGAAGTCACAGTTGCAGTTAGTCTGACTTCCGGACTACGATGTTCCAAATATGTAATCGTACAATATCTTACAAATTCATTCAATTGATAATTCTCAAATTTGAAAAATGCCAACATTTCCAAAGCTTGCACTAAAATTCTGCTATCCCATCTTTCATATTGTTCTTGATTATTTAAAATATTATTGATGCTTAATCCACTATCTCTTGAAATCATGATTAATCTACAATCTCTTGCAAGTGAATGATTAACTCTTATAGTTCCATATGGAGATCCGGGTGGTTGAAACCCTTTTCCTGATAGTACTAAGCTCAATAAATTCAATAATTTTTCATTGATGAGATTGGTTAATGTAGGTATATTGGTTATTAATGTTTGTAAAACATCTTGCATATGTCTTGATAATGAACAATTGGCAAACATCATATCTAAAATATCTCGTTGTAAATGTTTTGTCAATGCAGGACCCACGGCAATTGATAATTTCCCAATACAATCAAATATAGCTGGTTCTGTTTCTTTCCTACTTGCAGTATATTTAGATCCCGGTGTCAAATTGGCCATTGAATTGGCATTTATATTGGGAGTTTCATTTGATACTGCATTTGCTAAAATCAGTTGTACACCCGAATTTGAAGAATATGATAATCCTTCTCTTATATTATCCAAAATTGCATCCAAATAAGTAGCCATTTGATTTCCAACATCCAATGCTATTAATCCTATACTTTTAAATATTGCACTTTTATCGGCATTTGCAGTTTCATTGTGCTGTCCTTTGTATTTTTTAAGTTGTGATAAATAATAAAATAATGTTCTATGAAGATATTTCTCCACGAATAATTCTGGATTGACTTTACATAATAATGGGAAAATATTAGTTAATTCTTGTCTTATGATGGCTAATTTATGATGCTTGTACAAAATAGTATTTTCATATATTTGTTCAAATTTCGATGCAATATAAGGATCATTAAAGTATCTAAGTAATTCACGATAAACCAATAATGACCCATGGATGTTCTCGCTGGATTGTGGTGAGGATGATGATAAGAATGAATAGCTCCCACCACCACTACCACTTCTAACAACTCCTCCATCACTCATATCATTATTAGATTCACTGATATCATTTTCATTAAGTAATCTCGAAGCCAGTTCAATCATTCTCTTGACCCAAAATGTTCGGGCATTAACATCTCTGTCGTAAATAATATCCATACATTTCTGAAGTGCAATTGCTGCATCTGTCCTTATAATTAATTTATGGTCTCTTAAGGGTACCCATAAATGTTCCAATATTTGATTAATCAAGGGTGATAATAAAGTAGGTGCATTATCAGCAAGTGCAGTTATAATCAAAATAGCTGCATGTCTTCTATGTTCGTGTTGTTTATTATCACTTTGTAACCACTCAATTGCTCTTTTACCTTCATAATCAACGAAATCTCCTGTTAAATTACCACCAAGTCTTGCTAATTTCCCCAATGTCTTTGTCGCTTGTTTCATAATTATAAGATCATTAGATAAGATCAATGGACCTAAATAATTTGAGAATCTAGCTGTTTTACTGGCATTTTCTTTACCTACACCAGAATCAAAATCAATTAACGCATTCAAGGCAGCAATACCTCCCAATACTTCCGCAGTCTCGTCACAATGCAATAATTCAAAAACAGCTTTATTGATGTCATTATTGTATCTATTGAATTGTTCTGATGATAAATCTCTTGCAATTGAAGTTAGATGATTCCTTAATTCTTGTGCATATCTCGTTCGTTCTTCTTCTCTGGTTGATTTCAATCCATTGAATATTTGAGCTAATACAACGCCATCCACAACCAGAAGTTGGTTAGCTGTTCCTGCTCCTGTCGCTGTAGTTGTTGTAGCTGACATCCCTTCCTCTCTATATATATTTCAGTAGTTATACTTCGTCTTCTTCTGTTGAAGTTCAATCAAAATCAAATTGGTTGTAAAAATTCCAACCTTCTAAGAAAATGTGAGAAATGAAAGGGAAAAAATAAAAATAAAAAAATCTTATCATTTGTTTTTTAATTTAATAAATTGTATCAATTTACACTACCTTACTAATACTATTGATCTTCTATACAATAGGTTACAATGGGATTGTTTATGGTACAGCAAATAAAGAGAAGTTTCTAACAATGCTTGGTCCATATTCATCATAATCACTCTTAGTGTAACAATAACTCTTAAATTTGGCAGTTTGGGCTAATAATGACCCACCAAACCAAACTGCATATCGTTGTTTCTTATGACTAATGACTGAAACATCAACACCAGAACTTTGAACTCCACTTAATCTTTCACTAATACCAATTCTTTCATTAACAATTGATTTCAAATCTCTTTGTAATCTCTTACCAAAATCTTTAAACATAGTAGAACCACCAGATAAGACGATATTCTTATATAATTTCTTACGAACATCAATTGGAGAAGCTTGAATAACTTGATCAACAACAGTAGGTAATGGAGTTAAATAATCAGAAGAATAAATTTCTGGATTGAAAAAGATTTCAGGTGCTAAGAATCTTTCATAACCAACATCAACAGTATTAGTTTTGTTTCTATCAGTATATTCAACAATATATTGAGCAAATTTTTCTTCTGGATATTGATCAAATCTACTAAATTCTTGAACAATATCAGGACAAACATAACAGAATTGTTGCTTTATACGTTCAGCAGTTTGTAAACTAGTATCAGGTTCACCACGATCTCTTAATAATTTTTGAATAAACAGAGTAATACTTCTACCAGCAATTGGGATATTCTTAATAGCTGCACCAATAACATAACCTTCAGCAACTGGAATAACATGAGTAACACCATCACCAGAATCAATAACTGTACCACTTAAGGATCTATCTTGTACTTTTGGAGAAGTCCAACTGGCAGCTAAAGCTAAAACTGCTTGGACAGCAATATATAAACCAGCACAATTAAAACTTTCAAACATGATTTCAGCAGTACTTTCTCTATTTTCAGGAGGATTTAAAGGAGGCTCAGTTAATAAGAAATAATGATCTTCAGGTTCACATCTTAAATATTTGAAAATTGAACTTTCCCAAAATCTTTCCATTTGATCCCAATCTTCAATTTGTCCATGTTTGATTGGATAGTGTAAACCATAATTAGGTCCATTTGAAGCTTCAATTGCTTCATCTCCAATGAAGAAATCTAAATCTTCTAATCCTCGTTTGGAAGAAAGATTCGAGGCTCTGGCTGCTGCGGCACCTTTGGAAGTTTTGGAAGATGCGGTAGATGTTGCAATTGCAGTTGGAAAGACATATGATGGTGAATCATTACCAGCAAAACCTAATTTTGTTAAACCTGTCCCATTGTCCATGACAACGGCTGGTGTTCCCATACTCATGGTGATTGTATTAAAAAGTTATTGAAATATATAAAAAAAAAGTCAAGCAAATGAAATATATGAATTTATGTATTGTCTATCAAATTGTTTGATTTATCAATTTGATGATTGAAGTTTAATGTTTTTATAAATGTCAATTGATGATTCTCTTCAATTGTCAGTTTCTGTCAACTTGTTGGAAAATCGATTGAGAGTTTTGTTGGTCCGTTCGAAAGAGAGATTCACTCACTCTGGCCCCCGAAAAATCCAGCAAAATATGTCGTCCAGATTTATGTCGCATATCTATTTGGACGACATTTTTCACTTATTGTAAACGCTCTATCATTTGCAACTATGCTTGCTTATCGCAAGGCAAGTACGTCCTGTGGGATATTCCAGAGCTCAAAAATGGCTTATATCTCTTCTACATTACAGTATCTACACATACAAATTCTTCTAGTACATTGGCTTTTTTATTGTATAAACTTATTTATGTACATATTCTATATTTCCTCAATATTCATCTTTTCCACTAATGATAACATCATTAATCTTCAAGATCATTCTAGTTAATTGAGTAGCCAATAACAATTGTTGTCTCTTACCAATCAATGGATCAATAATAAACAAGTCCTTCATGTCATTAGTTCCTTTACCTAAACAATCCACACCCAAATGAGAACAATTTTCATTAACTTGCTTAGATTTCAAACTTGATAAAGTTTCAATTGGATCCAATCCAGAATTTTCAGCTAAAATCATTGGGATTTGATCTAATGCTTGTGCGAAAGCTCTGAATGCATATTGATCAATTCCCTTTTGTTTATCAGCAGCTTCAGACACGGCCAAAGAACATGTTAATTCAGCAGCACCACCACCATAAACAACTCGATTATCTCTAATTAAATTACGTACAACACAAAGGGAATCATGTAAGGCTCTGACACCTTCAGCAGCAATCATTTCATTTGAACCTCTAATGAAACATGTGACTGCTTTACTATTTGAACATTCTTCAATGACTAACATACGATCTTTAGTGGTACCAAATTCTAATTCACGAATTATACCAGCAGTACCTAATTTTTCAGGAGTTAAATCTTCAAATCTAGGTACGATACGTCCATTGGTTGCAATTGCTAATAATTCCAATTCGGAACCTCCAATCCATCTGATTGCATTTAATCCATTAGCTAATAATAAATGGTTTGCTTCATCATCAAAACCCCATTGACATGCAACAACATTTGCTCCTGATGCTTTAACTAAACCAATCATTTCTTGGAATTTCTTTTGTTCATATTCTTGTAAGACTTTAAATTCTTCCACGGTAGAAATATCTAATTTATGTTTAGTTTTTGGTTTTGGTGGTTCAAATGGACAAGTTAAAATAGCAATTTTACAATCTTTAACAAATTTTGGCATTTGAGGATGAGAAAAATCTTTATCTAATAATACCCCTTTAATTAATTCTGAATTTTCAATAGATCCACCAACTTTCTTTTCCATTTTAATTAATTCAAAATCAACATCCTTTCTTTCAAAATCAGCCACTGACATAACAGCATCCACAGCCATATTAGCAAAATGATCATGAGCCTTAGAAACAATCTTAGATCCAAGAGAAGTCTTGGCCGCCCTTATTAATTCATTATCTTGTTCTGATTTACCATTACCAATTGTGATTTCATCAGCTACTTGATTCAAACGACCAATGGCAATCTTACAAGCTTCATCAAACCCATTGGCGATTTTTAAAGGATGTATCCCCTTTTCAATCAATTCCAAAGCTTGGTCCAACATAGCACTAGCTAAAACAACTACACCAGTGGTACCATCACCAATTTCATCATCTTGAGATTTTGATAATTCAACTAATAATTTAGCAATTTCATTATCCAAATCCATTTGTGCCAATATAGTAGCACCATCATTAGTGATTGTGATATCTCCATCTTGACTGATTAAGATTTTATCCATTCCTCTTGGTCCTAATGAGGTTTTAACAATTGAAGCAACTGAACGAGCAGCAAGAATATGAGATTTGACAGCTTCTAAACCGTGTTTTCTTTGTTTTTTACCTTGGTCACGAACGATGATGAACGGACGACCGGTTTCATCTTGTGCGACTATGGCATTTGATAAATCTGGCATTCCTGAAGCCATTTTGGGATGTTTCTTTATTGGTAGTTGATTATCAAAGAGAACGTCTTAGAAGAAATTAATTTTGTTGATTCGAATTTTTTTTTCAGTGCCCTCAGGAAAGTGCTACCAGTTGCAAAATTGAGTACTGACACGGTTGAATATGATATATGCAGATGTGGATAAATTATGCAAACTTTGTACAATTAAAGCAGTTGGTTCTGGGAAGATACTACAGGGGGGTTTGAGGGATTAACAGTATTCCGATACGAATATCATGTTCCAATCTTTTATGTGGTGAAAATCTTGCCTTTCATACTGTTGTTATTTCAGTAATCTGTAAAACGATCTCACAAAAATCATCTAACCTGTAAAACAAAACTCATCGCTTTAATTTCCAAATTTTTCAATTCATCAATCACTCCAACCCTTTCAATTCACACAATCACCCATACCTACAAAAATATATATCAACATGTCAGTTGTCGGTTCCTTGATATTCTGTACCTATTGTGGTAACCTCCTCGACTCCCATAGTTCCACCGATAAAATAAATTGTCAAGTCTGTCAAGCAGCCTATCCAAAATCAAAATTCGCCAATTTAAAAGTCATAACTTCATCAGCAGAAGATGCATTCCCATCCACATTAAGATCAGCAAGATCGGTGGTTAAGACTACTTTAAAGAAAGATGAATTGGATGAAGGGGCAACTATTAAAGAAAAATGTCCAAAATGTGGAAATGAAGAAATGAGTTATCATACATTACAATTAAGATCGGCTGATGAAGGTGCAACGGTGTTTTACACATGTACTTCCTGTGGATACCGTTTCAGGACTAATAATTAGAGATAGAGACTTTTATATTGTTGCATATCTACCCTTTATTGTATATTAGATGAAAGAAAATAAAACAAACTAATAGAACGTGTATTAAATGTAGAATGTCTATCTAAACAGTGGCATATTCCAATTCATTTGAGTTTTCATATTCATACATATCCAAAGCCACAACCGCAGAATCCCTAACCACTTGTTCCTTATCCTCGAGGAAACTTTGTAACACAGGCAAACATTCATCAGTAGCAATAGATCCCAAAGCTTCCGCAGCTTCGTGTCTAACCATACCTGCTTCTCTTTCATCTTGCAAAACCTTAATCAAAGAAGGAACAGTGACAGGATTACATAGTTGTCCGAAAACATACGCGATTTCATGTTTAAATAACGCACTTGGATCTTCAAATCCTGAAGCTAATGCTAAACAAGCTTCATCTGATCCAAGATCTCTTAATCTGAACATCGCTCTATATCTTTCAAACAAAGGTCTTGATTGATCATTTAAAATTAATCTCAATTTTTCAATCTTGGCACTGATATTAGAAGAATCGTTATCCTCTTCAGTAGGTAATGGAGGTGCAGGATCAATAGAAGTATATAAACTCTTTTCCAAAGTTTCATTCTTTGCAGCATCACTATTTTCCCAATTAATTCTTTCAATTGCCAATTCACAAGTTTGTCTAATTTCCAAAGCAGGATCTTCATCATAATATTTCTTCAACAAAGGTAAAGATTCAGAATCCCCTAATGCACCCAAAGCTTCAGCAGCTTCATGTCTGACCATAATTTGTTGATCCAAATCATCCAATACTTGTCGTAAATAAGGTGCAGCATGTAAATTCTTGGTTTGGCCCATAACATAGGCAACTTCATGTTTTAATAATTCAGAATTATCCTTGAATGATTCAGCAATGTATTCGATCGCTTTATCAGCATTTTCTGCATTGGTTTCTTGTTCTGATCCAATCGATTTTAAATTGAATAAAGCTCTAAAACGATTGGCAAGTTTAACATCACCTGATTTGTTTATAAGAACATCTCGTAATTGTTCTAAAGTAGCTGTGTCTATGTTGATCTCACTAGTAGTCATTCTTTACTGTGCTGTCTCTCTGTAGAGTATCTCTGTATATGAGGGGGCGGTTGATGATAGATGAGAATACAATTATTGAATTGTCCCACCCGTGTTTTCATAAAATAATTTTAAATAAAAAAAAAGAAATCGAGAAAAAAAAAATTCTCATCTCATTTGGCTATATGCAGGATAAATTTTCATAATTAAGGTTACCTCCGTATTTCGGACTTTCTTTGGAACGTGTTTCACTATTTTAGTATTATAAATGAAGATGAGCTGATATGGGATGATTCATATGGAATATTGGCATTTGGTTGCAGAGAAAACTTATATAGTAAATTTTTGCATTGAAATTTATGCAAAAAATTGACCAAAAATCACATGATGTTCAATGGTAAGCATCAACAAGGTCTAGAATGTAAATACCCCGATGAAACCAGAGTTACTAGTTGGACTATTTTCTTCGAAAGAATAAGTTGGCTTAAGAAATGCTACATTAAATAATACAATATTCCAGGAGTATACGACTGTTTTCTATATGTTTGTATTAAAAGAATCTATTCTAAAGAGAAAGTCCATAAACTACTACTTCAACAACTCCTTAACTTCATCCTTTTGTTCTTCCTTTGCATAATCAGGTCTTAATTTTTCATAACCATGCACAGTTCTAGCATAAGTAATACCACCTAATCTACTTACAGGTTTCAATTTAGCAATATCAAGATTATTTAAATCCTTATTAATAACATCTTCTCTTACATGGAAATTAACCCCTTCAACAATACAAAGCACACCAGTTGCTCTATTTGGATCCTGCTTGGATTTCCATTCATGAGAATGAATTAATTTAGCTTCAATACTAAAAGCAGATTCACCAACATGCGGAGGAGCAACTTTTGAGGATTCCAATGGGGTTAATCCACTTAACTTCCATTCATCAATATCAATTGGAGCATTAGTTGAACAGAAATTAGCAGCTTCAACAAACCATTCACTAATTATATTAATGGTTAATTCTTCAGTATCCAAAATGTTTTGACAAGTATCTTTTGGATTTCCTCTACCACCACTAAAACCAATAGTAAAAATTGGTGGATCATGATTCACAAGGGTGAAATAAGAAAATGGAGCTAAATTGCGTACACCATCTTTACTGATAGTACTAACAAATCCAATTGGTCTTGGGACAACTGCACTAATTAAAGTCTTGTAATTGTCTACTGGATTTCTATTTGGACCATATGGATCAATTTCAATTTTTTGATGATTTTTCCAATCATCATTATTAGCACCTGAGCCAGCTTTCCAATCTTTATCTGGAATTTGAGTATAATTCCAAGCTAAATCAGAATCAAATTTTGGTCTTGAATTTTCAACTTTATTAAAATCAGGATGAGGATTTCTTTTAACTTGATTTTCTAATCCAAATCTCTTTGGTTCTTCCGGGGTGGCACTACCTGGTTGAGCATCTACTGTTTGTGTCATAATTGGCGATATTGTCTTTGAGAAGTATCTGGATGTTAATAAGTGTTGTTGTCTATTAAATAATCTTAATACTTTCATTGTGAACTTTTTAAATCAAGTTTTCCAAAACTTATAAACGGCGAAGGAATTGTTATTATAATAAACGTTCCAACAAAAGAAATTAAAGCCCCATTCTTCTAGAAAAATTTCTTTTAGTAATACGGAAATAGTGCAAAATGGAAATACAGAAAAATGATTTTATAGATATCCTACCTGGGACTACTTTATAACATGAATCAGCCCCTTACTAAATCTTACAAAAGAAACGTTGAAATTATAAACCAAACGTTAAAAAGCAATCTTCCTAATGGGAAATAAACTTCGGATCGATATGTCAAAAATCAAATTCCGGTTGTGTTATTTCCTAGTACCCATTTCCACACTTTCGAAAGAAATTCGAACAAGCGACAAGATAAGACAAATTTAAACAGGGCTCTGCTTGCACTTGCTAGGCTATGTTACGCTTATCCCCTTCTCCTCTTATCCCTATCTCCCCTCTACATTAAATATAATATCTACCAATAATCATACGACACCGTATAGAAATTAAAGCATAATTTGGTGATTGAAAAAATGGTTTAAAGCTCTCGGATAAATATATCTCCAGTCCCCACCTGTTTACCCCACTGTACATAAAACATCATTACATCAATATATTAATGGAAGAACCACATCTCCTCCACTTTTTTAATTTTATTCCGAGAACCCAACAGAAGAAAAAAAGACTCATCGCTTATCTACAAGAGTTTTATTGTTGACTTATCCACCCCCCTCTATCTCTCTCCGTAACGTTAAAGGAAGTGTCGGACATTCCCCCACAAGTATAGATCCAGCTAAACACATATTACCGAATGGTTAAGAAAGTATTACTAATCAATGGACCTAATCTCAATTTGTTAGGTACCAGAGAACCAGAAAAATATGGTACAACTACTTTAGCAGATATAGAACAGGCAGCAATTAAACAAGCAGAATTAAAACAAGATGGATCACAAGTATTAGCATACCAAAACAATACAGAAGGGAATATTGTCGATAGAATACATCAAGCTAAATTAGAAGGAGTAGGGTTTATTGTCATAAATGCTGGAGCTTATACTCATACTTCTATAGCAATTAGAGATGCCTTGTTAGGTACGGCTATACCATTTATAGAAGTTCATATTACTAATGTTCATCAACGAGAACTGTTTAGACATCATAGTTATTTGAGTGATAAAGCAATTGGGATTGTATGTGGTTTAGGGGTTTATGGTTATACTGCTTCTATTGAATTTGCACTTAATTATTAGAATAAACCGTAAACCTTATTTTCTCGGAGTTTGTTTGTTCCGGAAATTTTAATAAATAAATTTTTATAAAAATCAGTCGATCAAGATTTAAATAGATCCCCCCACATTGTTCAACTGTCTTATAACGTCGGATATCGTTTTATTAATTTTCTCTCATCGTTTATATCTGCTCATATATTCTTAACGCATGTGTTCCCAAATCTTCCCAAGATAATATAAATACCCAAGAGAATTCACTAACCTCTTTCACATTTTTATTTTCCTTCTCATCTCCCCCAACTTCTTTCTACCCCATTAAGAACTCCACAAAACAACAGCCATGCCATCTGCACTCAAATTAGTCGACATGAGTGATGAAACCATCACCGAAAACACCATCGCCATCAACTCCCAACATAAAGATGAACGTCTCAAATTCCTCATGGCAAAATTAGTCCAACATCTCCATGATTTCGCCCGTGAAACCAGACTCACCACTGATGAATGGTATGCCGGTATTGAATTCTTAACCGCCACCGGAAAGATGTGTTCTGATATCAGACAAGAATTCGTCTTGCTTTCAGATGTGCTTGGTCTTTCTGTTCTTGTTGATGGTCTTTCTCATCCAAAACCAAAAGAAGCCACCGTGGGTACTTTATTAGGTCCATTCCATACTCATGATGCTGAAGATAAACAAGAAGGTGACTCCATCTGTTCTAAAGATTTAGGTGAACCTCTTTTGATTGAAGGTATCTTAACTGATACCAAGGGGAACCCAATCCCAGATGCTAAGATTGATTTATGGCATTGTGATGCTAATGGATTATATGATACTCAATATGAAGATCGTGAACATCCTGATATGAGAGGTATTTTCACCACCAAGGAAGATGGTAGTTTTGTTATCAAGGCATCTAAACCAGTTCCTTATGCCATTCCTCATGATGGTCCAGTTGGGAAGATGTTACAAAAGATAAATAGACATCCTTATAGACCAGCTCATATTCATTTCATAATTGAAAAACCAGGTTATGATAAATTGATTACCGCTTTATATCTTCGTGGTGATAAATATGAATTCTCCGATGCTGTGTTTGGTGTTAAGTCTGATTTGGTATTTGATTTAGAACCATTGGGTGCTGAAAGAGCAGCTCAACATGGTATGAAGGCTGAAGATTGGTATTTGAATTGGGATTTCAGAATTATTACTGAACAAGAAGCTACCGATTTGGTTACTTCTAAGAATGTTGAAGCTTTGAAGAAGAGTGGTGAAAATTTGGTTCTTAACCAAGATGGTTTACCAGTATATGCTCCTTTAGATTAATTGCAAGGGTGACTATGAGACCGTTATATAATAAGTATATACAAATAGTTTAGAGTAGCGGTTTTATGTGCTTTTATGTTTGAATTTAATAAATCCGTGATATTTGATTTCCTAATCGGGATTATCCGTTTTTTCTCTAATTTCTTTGTGATCTCTTTTTGATCTTAATTAGATATGATAAGCAAATGGCACTTTTAGACTAATTGCTTCAACTAGACAGTTGTTCTCAAGATGGAATCAAACTTGTTTAGTCTAAAAGGTTTCCAAGTTGAAGAATTTGATGGGCTCAAGAAATCTTCTTTGTAGAATTGTCAAGCCTTGAGATATTGCGATCTGAATGAAGTGGAAAGAAATCTCAGCAGCTGGTTCTAAAAGCCCGCAAATATAGTTAAAGTTAGGAAGTTTACGGGTGCAATCTTCCTCTTTTACACGGGTGGGGGGGCTAAATACTTAGCCCGGGGTGATGAGCTGTTTAAACAATAGGTTGTAGTTGTTATTTGAATCTCCAGCCTAATTATTGACATGATTGCATGAAATCCGTATATGTAATGACCACTGGTGTTCTATAACCCACTTCTTTGTTAAGGTTACAGTTTGAAAGTATGTCAGAGGAGTTTCCCCTTTTTTAAAGGACAAATCTGGGGAAATGAGAAACTCTGATTTATTTCAGTTTAATTCTTGATCTGTCTATTTCCGTTTTTCTCCTGGATCGGAAATCACTTACACAAAAAAAAATAATGTCACGCGTACCCAATCAACTCAAAAGTGTCATCGCAAAATAAATTCATTTCCGTGAATAATAAAATAATAAATAAATAATTCTATTTCCGTTTTTCTCATCTAATTAATTTATTTTGACACAATGCTGAGATTGAAACAATTCTTAAATGAATATATAAACTCTCCAATCCCTTCGAGGAAAAAGCTTATCACTTAGTTTCTTAAAGGAGGAGAAATCAAGAAACCACATCTTTTCTTTCTTTTACATATAATTCACATACAATGTTGTCTCGTATAACAAGAACTCAACAACCAACTACCAGACTATTAGTCTTACGTTTCCTTTCAACCACCAGTCCAAAATCCAAGGTTGTCCAAACCACTGATGAAGCATTAGAAGGTATCCAATCCAACATCACTCTTCTTTCAGGTGGGTTCGGTCTTTCCGGTGTTCCAGACACAGTCATTAATGCCCTTGTTCAAAAACCCCACATCAAAAACATCACCGCTGTTTCCAATAATGCCGGTCTTGATGGCCGTGGTCTTTCCCAACTTTTAGTTACTGGACAAATCACAAAAATGATCTCGAGTTATATTGGTGGAAATAGAACTTTTGAAAAGTTATATCTTACCGGACAAATCGATCTTGAATTAACCCCACAAGGTAACTTGGCCGAACGTGTTCGTGCTGGTGCTGCTGGTATTCCTGCTTTCTACTCCCCAGCTGGTGCAGGTACTTGGTTAGAAGAAGGTAAATTACCAGTTAGATATGATTCAACTGGTGAAAAGGTCTTGAAAGCTAGTGAACCACGTGAAGTTCGTGAATTCGGAGGAAGAAGATTCTTATTAGAACCAGCTATTAACGGTGATGTTGCTTTAGTTAAGGCTTATAAGGCTGATACTTTAGGTAATTGTTGGTTCAGAGGTGCTGCCAGAAACTTCAATTCTGTTATGGGTAGAAATGCCAAATTGACAATTGTTGAAGCCGAACATATTGTTCAACCAGGTGAAATTGCTCCTGAAGATGTTCATTTACCTTCTATTTATGTTGATAGAGTTATCCAATCCACTACTCCAAAAGATATCGAAATCTTCAAATATTCCGAAGAACCATCTCAAGAATCATCATCTGCTGCCGAACAATCAGAAGCTGACTTAAAGAGAGCCAAGATTGTCAAGAGAGCCGCTCAAGAATTCACTGATGGTTCTTTTGCTAATTTAGGTATTGGTATGCCAACCTTAGCACCAAACTATCTTCCAGAAAACATTAATGTCACTTTACAATCAGAAAATGGTATTCTTGGATTGGGTCCATATCCAACCAAAGGTCAAGAAGATCCAGATATGATCAATGCCGGTAAGGAAACCGTCACATTAGCTCCAGGTGCATCTCTTTTCGGATCCGAAGAATCATTTGCCATGATTAGAGGTGGTAAGATTGATTTAACCATCTTGGGTGGATTACAAGTTTCTGCCAAGGGTGATTTAGCCAATTGGGGTCTTCCAGGTAGAGTTAAAGGTATGGGAGGTGCTATGGATTTAGTTTCTAATCCTGCTGCCACTAGAGTCGTTGTTGTTATGGAACATGTTGATAAGAAGGGTAGACCAAAGATTTTGGATGAATGTAAGTTCCCATTAACTGGTAAGAGATGTGTTTCTAGAATTATTACTGATTTGGCTGTCTTTGATGTTATTGATGAAAAATTGATCTTGATTGAAATTGATCCAGCTTCTTCTGTTGAAGAAGTTACTGCTAAGACTGGAGCTAAATTTGAAATTTCTCCAGATTTAAAGAAAATTGAAATCTAGGTTTAATTAAGGGGTACTTATTTATATTTATATATATTCATCTATAGAGAATGATACGTTAATGTTTTGCATTTGAACAATCTAAGAAAACGCTTCGGAGCAACAAGGGTCTCTCTATCGTAAAATGCTTTTACAATAAACCTCGTATATTTCCAGAGATTTACAGCATTGGCGTGTGATGACGTGATGAATAATTCAGCTCCTCAGGATACCAAGACAATGTCAAATTAATTCTCATATGCCTAATAAGCTGGGCGGCTCTTCGTCCTCCATTCCTGCTCATCAATGCAAGTTCAGGTACTCTGAAGCAACTTCCTTCCCTTTTATTTCCTGCCCCACCTGCTCATTTTTTTTACTTTTTCTTTTTGTATTTACTTATCTTGAATGGGGGAATTAATAAACAAAGGTACCAAATATCATATGGTTGCACATATATCATATCTTGGCAAGAGTCATTCGCCGAATACCAATGATCTAATATTTGTGGTAGCGCAGAGGGAAATTGGGTTGTTAAAAAAAATTGCTAAATTGAGAATTCCCCCCCACCTCATTTCAATTTTGTGTTTCTTAGTTTCTCGACTTCCAAGAATTTACCAGGAACAACAACAACCTAAAGAAGGCGATACGTAAAGAGGCGAAGAAGAAGAAGAAAGAAACAGAAGAAGAAGAAGACATCGTATTTTAAGTTATTTTTTTTCGAAACGCAAACACAATTTAAAACTTCTTGCAGTTCCGAATTATATATTCAACAACAAAAGTCTTTCAAACGAACGCTCGAAAGATCTTCCAGAAACTCGGAGAGACAGACTGAGAAAGAAACAGTAGATAATAAACGACCATGGGTAATCCAAATGAGTCAGCTACAAAAAAGCGAAGAAGAGTAAGGCAAGCTTGTGATTACTGTCGTACCAAAAAAGCAAAATGTGATGGTCTTGCTCCCGCTTGTACAAACTGTGTGATAAACGAAGAAGCATGTCAATACACACAAGCATCCAAAAGAAGAGGACTACCCAGTGGATATACGCATGATTTAGAGAAGAAAGTGGTATTGTTTCAAGCAATGTTAGCTTCTTTAACTGTGAGTGATGTCTCCAAGAATACAGAAGCTAATTTGATTCATATGTTGACGGAAGATAAATCGACATTTTTGACCAGTATTAAACAGTTACAACTGGTTTGGGATTCTTGTGGATTGTCGGATCTATTTGATCTGTTCATATTGGAGAATAATACAATTATACATGATGCTAAGGCATCTACTTCAAAATTAACAACATCACAATCAATACAAAAACTGCAGTCATTAAGTGAACACTCTCTGCTTCCACCAAGCGTTGCACCTCCTCCGGGTCCGCCACTGGGTCCTCCACCTCAAGAGCTACTAGCTCAACAACAACCAGAAACGCAACCAGAAATTGTTCAGCCTAATAATGGGCTGGTGATGGCACAACAACAATCAGCTCCGCTACTTCCGGTTCCTCAAAGACATTTACCAGCCATGGGATCAGGGCATATGCAACCACTTCCCCTTATAGAAAGAGGTCCCCAACAACTAAAGCAACAACAACCACTTTCTCAATCTCAATCACCTCCAATAGGAGTACAATTCCCCAAAGTCGAATCATCCACCTTTAATCAACTCTTGAATACATATTCAGAACATTTCATCAATGATCCGTCATTCTTTTTGAATTATGATATTTTTCAATTCATTTCTGAAGAAGAAGGCGCAACTCCAGAAGAATGGATTCCGGTTGCTTTGCAATATCATGGATTATCATCATTAATCTCGGGTTTCACTATAAAAGCAATCCAACAATATCATAGTAATAGAATGTTAGTTGATCAAAAGAATCCATTCCGAGTAGGTTCAATCTTCAATGTTTCATCATTTGCAATCGATGCCGCCATATCCAACCGTATCAAAATCCCATTAGAAATATTTCAATTCCCGCTGAATTTACGAGAAATGGTAGATAATTATTTCCAAATCTATCACCCATTAATCCCCATGCTCGATCGTATCTCCATCCTCCGTCAAGTCCATCATCTCCAATCCATCATCGGGAATAACAACGTCGAAAAACAAACCCTTGCAAATACCGACTGTAATTTAATAGCCCTAGTATGGGCAGTCTTGGCCTTAGGAGAACTCGCAACCGCAACCACCCCAGAAACCGCCAATGTTAAATATATCCAAACGGCAATCTATGCCAAAAATGCCATCATGTCGCTTGAGAATTCCTTAACGTCCACCATTGAAACCATTCAAGCACAAGTATTGCTCGGATTCTTCTATTATCAACTCGGACAATGGGATTTCTCATGGGTGCTTATTTCATCGGGGTCGAGAATGGCGATTGATGTCAGATTGATGAGACACGCAAGTAGTTCCGCCAAGGAGGATGAGAATATCAAAGAAGAAGAAAAGAAATATCGGGCAACTTGGGATAATATCAATCGAGAAAGGACTTGGGCCGTGGTGTATATTGTCAACACTTTGTTGGCCGCGAGAATGGGGAGGTCACCTGTGGTTAGGGCCCTGGATTGGCCAATTCCGCAGATTAATAGTGATGGATGGGAGGAATGGGATAGTTGGACATGTTTCCATTCTGGGGAGATCCATTTGGAAAATGGGCGGTTTTTGTCAACGTTTAATGAGTTTATTAAGGTGATTTCGATCTTGAATTTAGCTATTACTTCGAATATCGATACTTCTAAAGAGAATATTCACAAGGAGGACGAGCATAATAGTGCCGAAGTGAGTGAACATGTTGTTGTAGATTATGATGATTGGAAGAATTCGAATAGTTTGACGATTGGTCAATTTGAAGAGAAATTATCCGATTGGAGTCATGGGTTACCTGAATATTGTCGATTACAACACTTTTCTAATCCAAGTTGTCTCCCACCTTCAATCTCATTCCTCCATTTAGCACGTGCGTTAACATGGTGTATATTAGCAGTTCGATTAAGTTCCCTTAAAGGTGGCGATGAGATCAAAGACAGACTCATCCACTCCAGAGATGAAAAATATACTCGGGCAGTAAAATGGATTCGAGGATTAATTAATGAAAAGAGTTTGGTCAATCTTAAATATTTCCCATTTGTTGACTATGCCCTAATTATGGGATTTAATTTCCCCAATATGATGAATTTTAGTACTGAAGAAGAGAAATTAAGACATTGTCAAGACATTAAAACTTGTTTGGTTCATGCTAGTGAAACTTCGACCCCATGTAAGATTTCGTATGATTTGTACCGGATTATGAATAATGAAGAAATTGATATGAAACCAAGAGTAAACTTCTTCAATCCCCATCATTCTAGGATTAACGGCGCCCCCACTACTACTACCATACCAGGTACTTCCAATCCTGCTAATGGAAATCGCGATTCACCAATAATTTCAGAATACATAAATTCCGCATCCCAAGTCTCAACAGCAGTACAGACGCCATTAGACGCCCAACTGAAAACCATTCTCGCGGGAATAAACGCTTTAAGTCCCCCCTCACTTCCACCTACAACTAACTCCATGCAACTGCTGCAAACGCTTCCTCCAATGAGTGGTGGTCCAAGTAATGAAGCGACTCCCAATTCTGGACTTGATTTGTTTATGATTAATAGAGGGTATTTGAATATCCAAGGTGGGATCAACAGTGGGGTTGGGAATGGAGGTATGGCTGGACATTTGACTCCGCCGATTCCGCAGGCGATGTATTCCTCGATATATGACCATAGTCCACAGCATAAGGGACCAGGGGGGGTAAGGAGACTGTTTGATGGAGAAGGGGGACAAGGGGGATCGTCGATGAAGTATGAAGTAAAGAGAGAATTATAAAAACGTTGGGACTATCCTTTGTTAGTATTTAAGTTATTTATTTATTTGTAATATATACACATGTGCATTTTGTTATTCTCCAACTAACTTAGCCAAACAAACCTTCTTCCATGGAATTAGGTATTGGCTTATCACCGTATGCACCAAACCAACTGATAGGTCTTGTCCATATAGTAGGGATATTCAACTTCAAAACCTCAGCTGTTTTGGTGGCTAATTTCTCTCCATCATAGAAATTATCACCTTCATATACAAATGATACCAAAACATTAACATCAAAAGTATAGTTAACGTCATTAGTAGTATCTATAATACGAGGGAAATTCAATGCTTTTAATAAACTTCTTACGTAATTAGAAGTATCATTATTTTCTTTCTTCAGATCATCATATACTTTCTCGGAAGATAATTCTAATGATTCAAGAGATTTACTTAATAATACTTCAGTAGTATACAATTCAATATCACCTGCTTGCACATGTTCAAACAAACCAGCATCCAGAGAATCCAATATCAATACTTTTGTTAATTGAGTCAATGATTGTATGAATGGGATTATGACTTTTATGACATATGATTCTGTAAAACTTGGTAATATTGGTGACCGTTGTTGAATTAATGTGATTTTCAATTGAGGATTGTGATATACTTCAATAGCATTAGATAAGCCAACAGTGCCATGATTATTCAGATAGTCAATTGGAGATGCAAATGGATAAACATATAAATCATTTAATGTTCCTACTTTGATTAAATTATAAGTATGAATAAATAAATCAATGGTTAATTGTGGGATATTTCCAATTGAAATTGATGGTATTATTAATGTGGTAGTGTCTGTTACAAAAGACGATTCTGGTGATGATGTTGATGATATGAATGGTTGTTCCATATTCTGTATATTCTATGTAGATCTATGTATTAGAGATTAACCAGTGTTGATCTAATGGGATGGCAAAGTCGAAATTGAAAGAAAAAAATAAAATTGTCGATGTTGCTGGTGGTGTTGCTGGTGTTGTTTATTGAATTGTAAACAAATCAAAGAAAGTTAAAACTTTCTTTTTAATCACTCTGAGAATAAGAAGTATATAAATAAAAGATGGAAAAAAGTAACAATCAAAGAGGAAATAGGAGGTTGAATAGAGGTAGGTATCGTCATAGAAATGGTTATAGAGGTGGTAAAAGACGTGGTTTCACAAAGAACAAGAATGAAGAAAAAGGAATCTTCAGCAAGATATTAAACTTTTTTTGGATAATAATTCAAGCAATTCTTGGGATATTTGGAATTAAATTCAAAGCTGCAAAGAAGCCGAAACGAAGATATAATAGGATAAATTTCGCTGACTGGAAACCCCCACAAGCTACAGCTGAACAGAATATTGAAGTTATGGACAACAAAAGCGAAACTATTGAAGTTATGGACAGCAAAAGAGAAACTATTGAAGTTATGGACAAAAGAGAAACAATCCTTTATGATTCAGGTACAGGAGAAATATATAGGACCTTTTTAGCAAATTTGGATGTAAAGGAAGCTTGATGCCATTTGATGTGTTGCTACAATTGAAAATGCATGATGGTTTTTTCATAACACTTCTAGCCAAATGCCTTCATGATTGTCAATCATTCATTTGGCAATAAAGCACCAACAAGGAGTATTGGTAAAATCTTCGGGTAAAGAGTCAAGAACATTTTGCTTCACTTTTAAGCTATAGAAATTAATTATCTACACTGTATGTCTTACACCTTAATATACAATAAAAGGGAATTTGACACAACTGCCATTGAAACAATTCGATGTGCCCTACAAGAAACTGAATATCCATGTCAGTGATGTAGATTCTGGTTTGTTTGTTAAGTGGACAACTCCCGGAATTGAGTCCCAGACTTTGAGAGCAAATTAAACTATCTGTTACGTGCAATTATGCAAGAGTTTGGAGCTTGACTTTTCTTGGGTATCTGAGTGTGATTGTACTTTCAAAGAAAGAGCAATTATCTGTTACGTGCAATTATGCAAGAGTGAAGGCTGCTCTTTCTTTGAAAGTACAATCACACTCAGATACCCAAGAAAAGTCAAGCTCCAAACTCTCCTCAAGACCTAGTTAGATATATACCGAACCTCTGTGATACAATACCAATACGTGGTATGGTGACATGGTCTTCGGCTTATCTAGTCTCGACAGTCACTAGGTAAATTACTTTAGACGTGTTCGCGTTGTTGACACTCCTTAAATGCGTCTACTACAAATTCTACAAAGGCTATTTCTTCTACATTTCTTGGCCTCTTATTCAATCTCTCGGCTATAAATATGCTTGCTTTCGCCCTCTTTTATATGGCTTTATCTTTTAATAAATAAAACAACTATTCTTTGGACTGAATATTAGCAAGCAACCTCCAAATACCGTGTTCGCAAATCACCTGCGTTCACTAAGAATTCACCCCTTCTAAGTTGAAGCAGTGTGCTCCCGTGATTTGCGTCCAGGGTATTTGGGAGTTAATTTTCTACATTAGAATTTGCAAATGTCGTTACAAGCTAAAGAACAGTCAATTGATGCAAGTGTTGGTTTAGACCAGTTGTCCATAGACGACATGGAAGTTGATGTCACTTCTCCGATTGTTATCTCAGATGATAGTGATAATGAAGATGATGATGGTGGTATTTGTGATGGTTTCGTTGATATCAAGGCTGAAGCGACTAACGGAAGCAAGAATGTTGGTGCTGGCGTCTCCGTTAGTCAAGGGTTAGAATGGGACTCTGCTCCTTTGTCTAATAGAAAGAGACTTGGTCCTCCTGCTCGTCCCCCTGTCTATCCAAGCAAGGATGAATTAAATGCTGCGGCTAATGCTACGCCTAAAGTGGACTTCATTAACTTTCAGTTAAGATCATCATGGAAGAAAGCGATAAGACAAAATATCGCCCTGACTTTTCAAAACCTCCAATTCAAGAAAGATAACCTTGCTTGTCAATCGGAAGCGGTTGATATTGGTGTTAAGATTTATGTTAGGATAAAAGAGTACTTCTTGGACCCTGAAAACTTTGTTTTCACCGAGAAAACCCAAATCCATAACATGGACATCATTAACGACGGAAAGTCACTTTGGAATTATAAGTCAATTGTCATTTCTTGAAACTAGTTGATGAGCTTTCAACCGCAAGGTTACTTGCTTTCGGTTCCCTTGCAACAGAGATGATTAACAGAACCAGAACGGTGAGAATGAAAGACATTCTAAACTATATTGATAGAGGCGCTGAGCTCTCTTGTGAAACTATTGTCAAAGAGAGAATTGAAGAATATATCAAATACTTAAACTAAACTCGTAGGCTTGTTTAAGTATTTGATGTATTCTTCAATTCTCTCTTTGACAATAGTCGAGTTTAGTTTTGGGTTGTGTGAAGCTGAGAACCACCAAGGGTCTGCCACGAAAGCTATGGACAATTTTCGCCTTAAGAACACCTGTTCACCATAGACAATAGTATTCTACCAGATGAAGTTTTCCGGAGAGGAGAATCCAATTATCATAGTTAAGACAACCAACAAAGTAGTTCTCCACACGGAGAAAGTATACCAAGATAACTATAGCCAGCAAGAATAATTATCCTATTTGATAACCATACATCAAGAGATAAATGACTGCAAATACAATATTTCTCTTGATATTAAATAAATATTCTCTTGAAGCTGAGAAAACTCCTATGCAGAATCGTGCGACTTCGTGCATGAAACGAACAGGAGTTCCTTAATGGAGAAGATTTGATATGACAATTGTATCACACGTTCCGTGTGATTGTTAGACTATAGCTATAGCTGGAAGAACGTCTTTAGATACAGCTGGGTTTCCTACAGCCAAAAGATGGGTTGGAAAAGGAGGATTGTGTATAGAGATGAATAAACATTACTCACTATTATTAATTATATATAAATTATATAAAGAAACACCAAATTAATTATATGAAATAAAATTCTAGATATTAAAATTAAGAATTGAATAAAAAACATAAAAAATACTGAATATAATAAAACCAATCTCGTAAATATAAATAAACCACTTTCTTAATCACCATCCAGAATCATTAAAACTCGACATATTATTCAATATACTAGAAGTAGGCAAATTATTGCTTCCACCCAGCACCCCACTACCACCACCTCCTCCTCCACCGCCACTGCCACTCCCACCACCGCCTATGCCACCAAGAAGATGCAGACCACCCGAACCACCAAGATTCAGATCTCTAAATAATCCACCCCCGAGGCCACCACTACTACTTCCTCCAATCCCACCTGTCAGATTCGACCCACTGGAACCCAATAATCCACCCTGTCCACCCAAACTAAACCCCGGCATGAATGAAATATTATTCAACTGTAGTTGAGAAGGTGGAGTCGGTTGTTGTTGTTGTTGTTGTTGTTGATTGGAACCCGTACTGAATTGACTAGATAATTTCAATTCATTCAAAAGATTATTAGTTCCGGAATATTTATCACCCAAATTACCCAATATGAGATTTGCCTTATTATTATTATTATTATTATTATTATTCGAACTATTTTTCAAAAGATGGGATGGGTTTAGGGTTGTATTCGAATTGCTTAATGGGGGCATTAGGGATGTGGATGAGGATAGGGAGATATGTGAAGATGATCCAAGCATATTTGAAGCCGCCGCTACTGCTGCTGCTGCATTTACTGCAGCCGCTTGTGATTGACTCGTACTATTATTATTATTGGATTGCGGGTTTCCGGAACCAGTGGTTGGAGATAGGGATAGTTTATTCTGAATAGAATTAAATGGGGGTAATTGTTGATTTTGATTCTGGATCAGGATTTGATTCGACGGTACGATATAAGACCCAAAGCTTTGTGCATTACTAGATAAATTAATCCCCGGTAAATGAGTTAAATTATCAATAGTTGAACTATTGATTCCATTATTTGTGGGAGGTAATGGTCCACCTGTTGTATATTCATTATCTGAATCGTTTAATAATGGAGATAATGGAATTAGATTTGCACTTTGATTCCCACTTAGGGTATTTGCGGTAGATGGACCATTTAACCAACTATTCAATATTGATTTCTTTTGTTCTTGGACAACTTGATCTTGTTGTTCCTGTTGTTGTTGTTGTTGCTGGTGCTGGTGCTGGTGTTGGTGATGGTGATGATGAAGCTCGTGCTGATCATGGTGGTGTTGCTGTTGTTGTCTTAATTGCGAAATGGCAAGTCCGTCTGATACCCTCCTCCTACTAGCATCTTCCTGTTGACTAGCAATCCTTTGATTTCCAACTACTTCATCCTCTTCTTCCTCTACTTCATCGCCTTCTTCGATATTCTGCTCCTGAGAAACACCGAGTTTCCCCTTGTCATCAAACTCCTGTAATCGTTGTCTTAACCTATATATAAACCTCGGACTCAAGAAATCCATATGATCCAAAATCAACTGCAAAACAAATGAATCCATAAGAAATCCCCTTTCCGGAGATTGACTATTACTCAAAACAATTGCATTTATTTTCTCATTCACTTCATTACGCAATTGTAATAAAAGATCGCTACCACTAGTTAGTAATCCTCCTCCAGATAAATTATTCATGTTATTGTTGTATATCATCGATCCTTGATCAGGCGGGGGGAGTTGTATTTGATGTTGTTGTTGTTTCAGCTGTGATTTTTTCGAAACTGTAGATTCTGTCTTTGTTTTAGGTTTCGGTTTATCCTTCTTCGAGACCGCCGGTTTCCTCTTCGTCGTAGTAGGATTTGGAATCAATTTCGGTTTCTTTATCTTTCCAGCACCTCCACCTGGCTCCCCTGCCGTGGTCGCGGTCTTCTTCGTTCGTTTTCGTTTCTGTTGGGGTTGGGGTAGGGGTTGTATTGGAGTTGAGAAATTATTATTCATTGGAGTGGAAGTTTTGGTAGGTGGTGGAAGTGGATATACTGGCATCTTATCTTCAAAGAAGTCTTGCTCCTCTCTTGTTGGGGTAATCACCGTTGGGGTAGTTGTATCGGATATTGATGTTGATGATTCGACTAATCTATTAAACAAATCTGATCCTTTACTTGAATTTTGATCGCTTGCACTTGATTGATCTAGATTAGGTTCTATATTACTCCCTTTATTTGTTTTTGTTTTTGACTTTTTGAGAGCTGCTGATGATTCAATCCGTCGTTGTTCCTTTTGTTGTTGCCCATTCGATGACATGACCGATACATTTCTCAACCTAGATTCATCTCCTAATGATGATAACGATTGTGAGTCACAATTCACTTGATGGTCATGATTATCATTTATAATCAGCAAAGTCCATACTTTATCCCTTATCCCATAATTAGCTCTAATCTTAAACGGACAAGTAGTCTGTCTTCGTATTGGTTGTTTATTGTTACCATTGGTAGTACTCTTGGATGACGATGATTCACTAACAATTGCAGCTTTCTTTTCTTTATTCTTACATCGAAATATTATCTTCCCAGTATCTGATCTTTCAATCACAATCTCAATTCCTTTCTTATGTATCAAACAATCGGATAACCAAGGTTTTATGTCTTCTTTATTGGTGAATTTCCTATTCTCGAGATCTAAATCAGATAATGAAACTCGACATAGTCGTCTTATTGGTACATTCGTCGTCGTTGATGTCGTTGTTTCTGTCATTATGTTTGACGTTGTCTGGAGTAACTATACCTGGGGCAGAGGGCTACTAACAGGGTATCCTTATCGTTCTTGAGTTAAGTCTGGTACTTTCCTCAAATGTCGTAGTCTATGTAGCTGTTATATTTTCACGCCCCTTTTGTTTCGTATATCCTTCTGTCTCTCTATTCCCTAGCTCTCTCTAACTATACTAATCAAAAGTCTCTTAGTTTAACTTTAGAAAGATTAGTAGCGATTGCATGAAATATTAAAATGGTGTGATGTGAGAAATGTCGCATATTAAACTAAAAGTTAAATTAATCTGCTGTACGACATAGGTGAAGAATTCTGACGACATTATTTGGTTAATTTGCCACGACCCTTTGATCAGATCCATCGATGATCACTAATGACCCCAACCTAATTACATCAGAGTATTAAATAGACTGAAAATGAATGTATACTCGTCGGATATCCAATATCATCAATTCCAATCCAATGGTCATCTTCGACACAATTATGATATCTTAACAGAGAAAGTGGAAGAATTAATTCGGATATGCGAGTCAACATTCGTTACATCCCAATCACAGACAGACAACCTTATAAAGTCATTACAGGCCACAATTGAGTTAATCTCGAACAATCATGAACCTGATTCCGATTATCCAATTCATGTTTATCGAAAACTACAACGACTAGTTGAGGGATATAGACAATTAATCAAATATTTACAATCCGATGATCACGAACCTGGACTGAATGGTAGTGTGACGGAGATTTTGCATGGGGATGGGATATCTCCAATATCAAGTCCCTCTTTATTTGAGACGCCTCAACGACATCAAAAAGAATCCTCTGAGATATCATTACCCCGTCAGCCTCAACAAACCACCACCACCGTCGATACCAACAGTGAATTCGATGACGAAGAAGATGATTACGATGATATTGATTCCGAATTGCATAACAGTTTAATCACGTTGAAACCCATGAAATTAAATCGAGCAGAAACACCCCGATTAGTCCCCAACGTAAATACTAGTCCATTCAAGAACAATATCCCCCCGGGAATGATTTCTTCCACGCCGACTAAACAACAAATGAGTCCTCATTCTGTGATCATCCCCTCGCCAGCTTATGAATATATGAAGTCTCATGCGGTGGATAATACATTTACTACTACTGATACATTGGAATAGGAACTTTTATAGACAATGTTAAATAAAACGTTTTTAATAGATATTATTATTATTTATAATGTATATGTACAAGAAGAATAAAGTCACAAGAACATGCACGGATTGAAATCGTCAGAGCTATTTCTGCCGTATCTCTATGATTGAACTAATCTATCTATTCCAAGACAACCTTAGCACCCAATCCTTCCAAAAGAGCCTTCATCTTTTCAGCATCTTCCTTAGCAACATTATCTTTCAACACTTTTGGAGCACTTTCAACAAACTTCTTAGATTCAACCAATGACAATCCTAATAATCCTTTAACTTCCTTAATAATCTTTGGTTTTGATTTAGCATCGAAAGATTCCAACTTCACGGCGAAAATCATCTTTTCTTCAACTTCTTCCTTCACTTCTTCTTCCACAGCAGCTGGGGCAGCAGGAGCGGCACCGGCAGAAGGTAAGGCGATATCTGAAATATTTAATCTGGTCTTCAATTCTGTGATTAAGGCAGAGGTTTCTAATAAAGTCAAAGTAGAAATTTGATCAACAATAGTAGAAATCTTTGGATCAACTGCTGCAGCAGTGGAGTTAAAACGGAGTCCTAATACTCTTCTGGTGGCGACTGATCTTAATGCTGGTCTAATGGCTTGACGAATGACTGACATGGCTGCTCTACTATGTATATTGAATCTACCTTAATTGACTATTGTCTCTATGAAGTGGAATGAATAAAAAATTTTGAACCTAAATTGGTTGGTTGGTTTTGGTGAAAATTTTTTGTTGGTACAAATTACACGACCTTTCATTTTGGCTCTCACTATTTCAGTGGCACTATGAATTTTTCAACTGTCTCCATTGATGGCCAATACATCGCTAGTCGTAGGGAAGCAATAGATAATAATAGAAGAGAGTAATAATGGCATCATTTAGATTCTGTGCAGAATGCAATAATATGTTATACCCCAAAGAAGACAAAGAAGGTCAAAGATTATTATATGCCTGTCGTAATTGTGGATATACCGAATTAGCAGAAAATCCAAAAGTATATCGTCATGAATTAATTACCAATATTGGTGCAACTGCTGGGGTTGTGGAAGATATTGGGAATGATCCAACTTTACCTAGATCTGATAAAGAATGCAATAAATGTGGAAATCGAGAATGTGTGTTTTTCCAATCACAACAAAAGAGAAAAGATACGAGTATGATTTTGTTTTATGTTTGTTTGAATTGTAAAACAGTATTTCAGGCATAACCTCCTTGAGCAACCCTTGAGCGAAGCTCGAGGGATGGTTCCATAGAGAATGTTTTGGTTCCAGAGAGAAGTCGAGGGTGATTCTCCAAAGCAGAGAGAAGGTTAATCGTGGTTATTTTGTATTATAGATATTTCAGTTCTTCAATCAGCCTTTCNAAAGGCTTTTATAAAATGTACAATAAAACGAAAGGTAAAATATACTAATGAATGGCTTTATTATTACTTTGTAGATAAAACTGGTAAACAAACTGTTACATAAAATTACTAAAAGAATCAACATTAACCCCATTGTTTTCAAATTGGATTCCTGTCTCTCTAGTGCGTAGCGCAAGCGCGGGTAAGCAGCCCTTGGGCTGTGCTTAAAAGAGTCCTTCGGACTCTCCTTCATGCCCTTCGGACATTCCCTTCGGTCCCTTAGAAATCAAGGAAATATTGAGCATATGGATCTTCACCTTGTATACCATAATCAAACTGTTCTTCAGGATAATGATCAAACAAAGAAGAATCCCCCACTCCGGCAGTAATAGGAGGTTCATAAGGAGTTTCAATATCTTTAGCTAACAACTTCTCCCAAACAACTTCCAGAAACCAAGGATGATTTCTAATATCAGCCGGACCATTAATTAAATTCCCTAATCTTCTGGTTAAATCCGAAGTAATCAATTTTGATAATAAATCAATTACATCGGGAGACATAAAACTGGGATAATGGATTTTACCGGATAAGATTTTTTCATAAGTTTTCATGGGGGTTGTATCATAGAATGGAGTATATCCTGCCAACATTTCAAATATTAATACACCCATTGACCACCAATCGACTGATTTGTTGTATGGTTTGGTTTGGATTACTTCGGGGGCGATATAGTCGGGAGTACCACAAAGGGTCCAAGTCACGGTACTTACTTCTTTAGCAAATCCAAAATCGGTGATTTTAATATGTCCATTTCTATCTAATAAGATATTTTCTGGTTTTAAATCACGATATATGATATCATGACTATGTAAATATTCTAATGCTAATGTAACTTCAGCAGCATAAAATTTTGCTACTGGATTGGGGAATCTTTGAGATTTCCTTAATAATGAAAATAATTCTCCTCCTTCAATATAATCCATAACCATAAATAAATTTTTCGCATCTTGATATGTACCCCACATTCTAATTAAAAATGGATGTTCAACTAATTTAAGCATTCTTCTTTCATCGTTTGTATGTTCAACTTGTTTCATTTTAACAACTTGGGCTTTTTTTAATACTTTAATGGCATAGTATCTTCCATTATGTACTGATCTAACTAAATGAACTCTACCAAATGATCCTGTACCTAATGTTCGCATAATATGGAAATCATTCAAGGTATATTTCCCCTTTGAAACAGTTGATCTTTGAGGTAATAATGATCGTTTTATAGCTTCTTCAGCAGCTGATGTGACTTTAGCTTCACCTGCACCACTTTGATGTAATTTTTGAATACTAGCAATTGCTTGCTGTGAAGCTAATGAAGGTGGGTTCAATGGTGTGCCTGCACCAGGTTGAGCTACATTTAAGGTAGATGTACCGCTTGCAGTTGCTGTGCTTGGTTGAACTTGTGCAACTACAGGATGAACAATTTGTTCACCGGGGTGAGTTTGTTGATAATATTCCATTGAAGTCTTGGATGTGCTCGATGTGGTTGTTGTTGGAGAACTCTTATTTCCTTTTGTATTGTCAGTGTTGTTCAGTCTAGTAATATGAAGTCTCCTTAAGAGGTTTGGCATGGAAAGAGTTTAAAATTAAAATTTTATGTTACAACGAGATTTTTTAACAAAAACTCGAAATTCTTAGACTTTGGGAGTTTTTCTTCTTCAGGGGGGGTGGTTGGGATGGATCGGAACGGGAATAGGATGGAATGAATTATAGTACCTCGTATAATTCAGTAGTAGCTTGTATAGATGTAGTGTAGCTTGGATTACCCTCTTATAAACTCAATTGAATACTTTGTGACTGTTCAATTGGACTCAATTGGAATTAATAATTAAAAATTTCAAGGGTGATGAAATTTGGGGGGGGGAGAGAGCCCAACGAAGAAAGTCACAAAGGCCGAAAGAAATTTGAGAGAAATTTTTTTGGTGGTACAAAATCTATATGTCACCTGACCTAGTTTTACGAGTTTACCCCAGGTGGATCTACAACCTAATTACAAAGAGAAATGACTCTACTTAGTTTACTATTGAAATGCTATGAGTCTCCTTATTTGTTCTCTAGAGTACTAACTATCCATTTTAATTCTAGTAATTGGGAGAGATGCATGTAGAACTTAATAAGATAATTTATTCATAAAATCGGTTGAAATTTCCCGATTTCTCCTTTTTCTTTACTTTTCTACCGTTTCTGAAATTTCACTTTTTTCATTTTTCTTTTAAAGGGGGGAGGGAATTCTCTTACTAACAAATCATCAACAATATGGTTATATTATATACAGGATTGATCACTACTTTAATGTATTTACAATTGCTGCAAACTATAACAAACTCTACTTCTGAAATAAATGTATATATATAATCTGTATACTTTTTATTAATAAACTACTAAAGTTCAATCTTATATATAAATAAATAAACTAAACTCCATTCTTTGCCATTTGATAAATGGCATAAACATTTAATACAGAAACAAATAACCAAATACCAACAGCAATCACCGTGGTTACCCAATTATTTGCCATATATGTATACTTATGTTCATCATCATCACTATCACTACCGGTGTCACTGCCATCATCAGCATGATGAACAGTCTCATCATCATTTGGTAAAGCAATCTTCATAATCTTCTTTGAACAAGTAAAATAAATCAATGGAGCAGTTAATGGAGGTAATAAAATAGATATAACAACTTGTGAAATATTCAAAGCAATACTTAACCCATTTCTACCAATACATAAAGATATAACCAAACATGGAATAATTGAAATACCCCTAGTTACTAATCTTCTTAACCAAGGTTTTAATGTCCAATTAATATGTCCTTCGCTCACAATTTGTCCAGCAATTGTACATACAATACCTGCACTCTGTCCACTAAATAAAAGGGCAACCATAAAAATAGTTCCAACTGCTGGTGCTAAATTTGTCAGTAATAAACTATGAATAGTATATAAATCTGCATCAATTGCTTCTTCAGTTCCATATAATGTAGATCCTGCCACAATTAAAATAGCAGCATTAACAAATAATGCCAAGGTTAATAAAGTAACTACCAATTCAGCAATGGAAAATTTTAATGAATATTTAATTGCTTGATATGATGGTTTATATTGATGATAAAAATAGTCCGCTTCTTGATCATGGGCACTCTTCTTCTTAGGTTTCTCATCTAAGTCGTCATCACTACTGTTACTACTAGAAGTATCAATTATATTCTCCAATTTAACATATCCATTCTTAACATCAAAATCCCTTAATCTTGGCTGAACCAAACCTGACCCCAAGAATAAAGAATGAATCATAACAGTAGACCCAATAATCGACGTAGCTATAGTCATCCCATTCCCACTAAACATTTGATAAGAAGGTACAAACCCCCTAAATACATCTCTTGCATTCGCACTTATCTGTGATAACTCCACGGCAAAACAAACAACCACTCCAAATACCAACACCCCCACGGCCCATTCGAAATATTTAACAAACTTAATCAGAGAAGTATCAGCCCTATATGCCATCAACACAAACAATACATCCACAATCGTTATCACAACCCCAGCCGCCAATGGAATCTTCAACAATATATTCAAAGCAATAGCCGATCCAATAACTTCAGCAACATCAGTAGCAATAATCGCACATTCGGCCAAAAACCAAAGAACCCAATTTAATTTCCTTGGTAAGTATTCTCGACAACATCTGGCTAAATCATATCCTGTAACTGATCCTAATTTAATACATAAACTTTGTAAAAAAATTGCAATTAAATTTGATAAAAAGACAATAAATAAAAGGGAATATTCATTTGATGCTCCTGCTGTTATCCCAGTGGCATAATTACCAGGATCCATGTAGGCGACACTTATAAGCATGCCTGGTCCAATGAAGGATCCATATTTCTTTAGAACTGTTTTTGAAGTGTGGAAAACACTGGTGAATGTGGAGGTTGATTTTGGTATTTCCGTTGATGATTGATGAATATTTGGTTTTTTAGTCTCTAGTTCTGATGATGTTCCAACCATGATGTGTATGTGTGTATAATGCTATTCTATAAAACAAATGAAGTTATTGATTATCTTCTCATAAAAAGGAAATAACGAAATGACAAGAAGAATAAGGGGGAAAGGAGTTACGGTTATATATCCGAGAAAAGAAGACAACTAATAAAGAGAAATAAAAAAATAAATGAAGTTTTTCTTTACAAGGCTGAATCCGGTTTCCCAATTTTAATCAGACGGAAAAAAACAAAATCATTTCTTACACAAAGAATACAACGTATCTGCATCAAACTATAACACAATAATGAATACAAACCCCAGAGATATAATTACATACATAACAAGTACCAGCACATAACCATAACCATAACAACCCCTCTCAAAATGAAAGAAAGGGAACAGTAAAACAGAGTTGTTATCCCCATACCCCATACCTTATGATTTGCTTCAAAAGAAATGACCCTCTATGGCGCCCCCTGGCACATGACAAAAATATTTGACAAACAACCATCTCTCCTTTCTTGCCAAGAGATTAGAGCAATTCAATTAACAAAGACTAAATGTAACATCCCTACTAATGAGCAATATTAATTAATTGGATTACCATACCTTGCTGGTACAGCTACTCGGAGAATTCCGGAGAAGATATTTTTGCGCTTACTCATTTCTTTTCTTAGTATTTTTTTTGTATTGTTGTTGTGTTAAGAGAGTGGCTTTGTTCTAGATCCTTTTCCCCGTTAACAATGTATTTCTTAGAGTCCAATTGGCTGCAAAATCAAGAGAATGCTATTTTTAGGTATTGAAAATATATATTTGGATCTATAAGGGTATATAATTTACCGTATCTGCAAAATTCTATTCTTCTAGATGATCCGGTATTATCCTATTGCATCAATTTGTCAGTTGATTGGTTGCAAAAATAGGACAGCAGCAACAATACGCGATCAAATAAAGGATAATCGTAAGTTTTTATCACAAAGAAACTCAACAATCCATATTCCATTCCTTGGGGTTTGTTGAAAGAATCAAATCCCCAATCAATGACTCATATGAGAATACCCTTTAATATTAACTTCTAATTTTATTTTAAAGTTTAGACTGACAGAAGTTGTAAGGAGTGATTACATGTGCTCCTTCCTAATTTGGAATTGGAGTAATCGCGGACATTATAGACTTTCGTCTGTCGTTACTTGAGTATGTAGTATGGTGGAGCTGCTCGGAATTGGTTCCTGTGTGCAACTTGTTACATTACAGTTGATTTCAATTCCTTCGCTATTCTTCCTCCTTTTAATAAACCTCAGGACTCGAAGATAAATACCTGTCGATTTCCCCTTTAGATCTAATTGGGAAACAACGATCTATCTTTATAGATTTACTTACAAAATTGAACTTTGGTTCATCATCTCGGAATTCCAATATACATACATTCGCTCGCTCGGTCGATCCATCATATACGGTTTAGCACTTCCATCATTCAAGCAACATCATTGTTCTCTCATCAAATTACTAGAAACACTCCTATTCTTACGGTTGGTAGGGGAAAGTTACTACTAAGAATTTCAACAAAACTGAGAAGAAACCAAAATAACACTGTACTAATCCACCACCACCTCCAGAAAATGAGGAAAACAATCCACCCATCACCTCCAGAAAATGAAGAGAATAACAATTATGTGAATATGGATTCTCAAAACGAAACTAAGGAATTCTGAAACTCAGTTTGGATAAACTTTTTAATTAAAAGAAAGAAAAGAAATTTTGCAGCGTATGGTTTTCCTGCTAGAAGAACTTCAATAGAACATTCCTTCATACTTTGGATCTTTCAACTCATCCTGAGTATCCTTTGTATCGGCTCCAAGTTCTCCCACCCAGTCTGGTTATTTTATGTTTTCTTGTGTGACATTAAGGAAAATCTACAAAGTATTTAAAAACCTATAAAGTCAGACACCCGTTTCACGTTATTACCTACCAAAGTCATCAAAACCAAAGCCGGGAAATATGGCGAAAGAAACTATCAAAGTCATCAAAATATTCAGAATGATAGCGGGATAATCCTTCATATTCCATCGCTCTTTTCCTCTGAATGGGGCATGTTATTGGTCTTTGTGAAGTTGACATATATAGTGTAAATCTTTTAACAATATGAAAACCCATTTGTACTTCTTCTTGAAGACAGTTGCCAACAGAAATGAAGAAGACAAATAGATTCCATTAGGCTAAGAAATTTACCTATACCAGCTTTACAAAAACGAAATAACCACCCCATATCTCAAGAAAATAGCAATGGAAATGGAAAAGCCGTCTGATGCAGACCATGGGAAAAGCAGCAGCATTTTCGAACCGGTCAGTGGGTTTCAAATTGGTGATGGGAAAAATAAAAGACCTATTGAACCTTCCTGAATGGGCAATCACGAATTTCTTCTTCCGATGTTTTTAGTAATTCCTTATATTTGACAACTGGTGAAGCCCCGGAATAGGGTTAAGATAAATTTTGATGCGGTTCCAAGTTCGTTACATGCTTTCCATCTTGCGAACAGGCTCAAAGGGTGTTCTGTTAAAGTTGAAATCATGGATAATTTTTATCACTTTGATCCAACCGTTGATGTTTTGATTATAGAATTTGGTTTTTTATCACATTGTCATTTTCAACAATTCATACTTGATTTTAATTTATTTAGTTCATATCTTTGATTTTATAAATCATCATCAAAATATTTCCAATCATCAATTCGATAGTTTCAACGATGATGATCAAATTTCTCAACAATCATCTACTTTACTGAGCTCCGCGGGTGGTTTTATAAAAGACATTCATCAAATACGGGAATGCATGTCGCCAATTGAGTTCTCTATTCTTGCGAAATCTATGCTACCTGAAAATGTTCACTCAACTTTTGCACCATTTGCATCTGAAATAGGTATGGGAATAACTAGTGATGTTCTCTTGTCTTGTGGAACTAATTTGGACCCTATGTATGGATATTTAATTCCCATATTAGCGTATAAAAAACATCATGAGAGAACATCACCCGTATGTCTGGAATCAGACTCTTTTAAAAGGGTTTTTAATGTTGTTGCTGTGCCTACTTCTGTACATGTTGTCCAACTTTGTAAAAAACTCAGTGGGTTCCTAAATGTTGATGTTATGGAGCACTTATACCAATTTGATCCTAACACAGATGTTTTAATTGTGGAATTTGGTACATTAAACGATCGTTACTTTCAACAAGTTATCGCTGATTTCAGGGATCGTGAAAATGTTTTAGGAACACTATTTATTGATGACTGCCATTGGCTCCTTCAGGATGTTGAACGTTTTCCTTCTCATAAGATAAATACACTGTTGGTTCACTCGTTTTGGAAACGGGTTTTCATTTCACATTGTTGTCCTAAAAAGTATTTTGATTTAATAATTAGACAATTCAACGTTTTCAAGGTTATGAAGTTAAAGGCTGTAGAAAAGATTCCATTTGAAGGTGTTTTTCAACTTGCCTTACCACCACAAGATGCAGGAATTGTTGATAAATTTATTGTGGATACTATCAAAAACTTTTTAAAGTATGAGCAAATTAGGAATTCTAATATGATGTTGTGTTTTGGTAAAGGTAATCTCAAAGAAAAATTGAAGTTGTTTCAAAATAATTTTGATCTGGATTTGTTTTTTTGTTTATCAGAAATTGACAATTTCAATATTGACACTTTTGAAAAATTTAAACGTGGGAAGCATGTGATTCTTGGTGACAAGCATGCGTCAATTGTTACTGATATTAAGATTGATATAATTATATATTACAATTATATTCCGGATATGCTGTCTTATATTGAAACTGTAAGTTGCCTCGATGAATTTGGCTGCTGCATAATTTGTCCTGTTAAACCAATTGAAAGGAGGACATTGTTTAATAATCATGATTGCTTTGAAGAAGAATTTGTTAAGGAAACTAAATACATGCTAGATCTAGATCCTATATCCTTAGATGATTGTATTTGTGATCAGTTAGCCTCATACTATGGAATAAATCATGTTGGACACCTTAACTGTTGTTAGAATGAAGGTAGAATATCCTGCTCTTGATAAGTTTGTCACATCAGTAATTTCACTTCCACCTAATCCAACTACTGTTTTACAATTTCCAAAGAAAAGAAAATCTCATCCAACTAGAATTTTACCTAATAAATCTAAACACTTCAATGAACAAGTCTGGATGTCTGGATGTTGGGATTTTTGGATGTCTGGATATTGCAATTGTAAGGAATATCAATGTGAATATTGTTATATATTACGATTATAAACCGGAGATTCTGTTTTATATTGAAACCGTTGGTTGTATAAAAGTTCTGAAGTTACAGGCTGTGGAAAAAGTACCATTCAAAGGTGTTTTTCAACCTGCCTTACCTCCACATAAAGCAGAAGTCGTTGATGAAATGGTGATATAGATGGAACACCAGCTTCATATAATCTTATCTTAAAAGGTGCAATTTCAGAGCATCAAGCTTTAGCTATTTCTTACCTCGCAGGTTTATCATCGTAGACAAATATTTTTCTCTATATCGGTGTTAAGATGTACCCCAAGTCAATAAACGTAATCCTATGTTACAGAAAACGTCAACAATTCGGGCTTGAACTCGATAAGAGTGTATATTCTGAACCGTTTTTGATATTGATAAAGCGTCATAAATGCTTTTACTCAATTTGAAATTTGTTTTTTCTGCACGTTTTCAAAAAATTTTGCACCCATTACATTTCAGAATTTTTGCAACAACATTCTGCTTAGTTGGAAGCACCGATGACGCTGCAATCTCGAGAGCTGCGAACAATTCGGCTTCATACCTGCACAATCAAAAGATATGGCAATAGTTCAATTTTGTCATGTTGTTGAAATGGTGAAGCAGCCTTCGTATTGCAATGAGGATTCTAGCATTTTACTGGTGGACTTTGAGAACGCATTTGATAACTTTATCCATCGTAGTTTAACTGATGCCTATTATGTAAAAAAAAAAAATCTGGGAATGTGGTCAGGAACGTTGTACTGAAATCCCCACAAACGTTTATCAACATTGTGTTCTCAGCAATAACAATTCTACTAGTCTCCACTAGTTTAAGGATAAATCTTTAGTTATGAGTTGTATATGAGCTCTTCTATAAACTAAAGGAAGAAGAAGTAAATTTTTTTAAAATAAAAGAGTAATATTTTCCAAACAAAACAATATTTCAAAAAGGGGGCGAATCCATTGGGTTTTAAAGATTCGCCAAGCATCAATAACAATTCTGAAGAATCATAATTTGGATACAGAGTTAATTGGTTTAGTTGGCAAATAAAGTTTCAAAAAAAAAGTTACAATAAAAATTAGTAGCTGGCAAATAAAGTTTCAGTAATTAAATAAAGTTTCTCCGCTTCAAATAAAAAAAAAAAACCGCGTCTCAACCTTGTATGAAAGGTTTACCAATATTCAAAATATAATTAACATAATAATATTATCTCGCTGTAATTGATGTAACAAACGTTTTATTCTTTTCTTATTTCTAGACTCACTACAATCAGGGCATTTTGAAAATGACATATTCGTTCGATGACACTCCGATGTGCCTTATACATTTATAGCATATACAATTTTGGATCCTGCATATAATACTCAGATCACGAGAATATCACACCTAAGTCACGCTTTTATTACGTAAGCATCGTTTCCTATAAATTTTGGTTTGTTTATAATTTCTAAATAAAACCGAATATAACTTCTTATGAGCTTGAAAGGTGATTATATGGTTATTATTGATATGGAATCCATATTTGTGGAAGTATTTTAGAATTAATTTTAAAATATTTGGCGTGTTTTATTTATCTTTGTCAAGTGAAAGAAATCTGTAGAGTAATTCATACAAAATTTTGCAACCATTTTAAGAAAAAAATACCAGTCCCCTTGTTTCAACCGAAAATATGATCAAAATCGGTACATTTCTTTCTTATTGAAGATAAGATTTTGCTGATACAAATCACGAAGCATTGGCGGTTGATTTTAATTATGAAAGGAAAGTTCATATTCCATGTATCTCATGAAGCTCAGGTTTCCCTTTCGCAGCCAATTTATTTTGTAAAATTTGTTCTTGATAACATAAGTCGATTCAAAAGAATGCGTTTTCTGTAAGGGTATACAAGGAACTCAAGAGTTGACGTAATAAATTAAAATGAAAGTTCTATTTAAGAGAGGACGGTAATCTACAGAAAACGATATTTTTTAACTTGATTTCTAACTGGTACATTCTTATCAACATTTCTACACTTCTATAGCCATGCAAATCCTTTTAGTTTTGTATAAGTACAAACTTTACTAGTTTAAAACTACTTTTGCTTCACACTATACAAATATGGGAACTGTAGACAACAAGATGTTCTACAGCTCGCAACTCTCTAAATATCTATATCCCTAAACGATTCTTTTAGTACAGTACTTTGGAAAAGTCCAAATTTTTTTCTCTTCATGCTCCAGTCCTATTTTAATGAGGTTATACAATAGTTAAACTATTTCTGTTCCATTCTCTTAATCTGTTCCATGTCCATCAATATTTATTTTGCATAATTGCAACTCCTCTAATAAATGGTAGCGCAAAATTCATGTTCCTCGGATGTACAAAAAACATTTTGTCGGATTTATCAAAAGTCTTTTAGTTTGTGTCATTTAATTTTGTGTAATAATACAGCAATTTGTGAGTCAAATTGGGAATCAACGGATGACTAACCATTTCTTTCAACATACACACTTTTTCTTTTCAATATAAAACCATATTTTTAGTATTATACATACCTCCACTCACACAAAATGAACATGTCAGAAACGTCTACATTAGTTAGCTCTCCTAGCAACGAAAGTCAAGATAGCAAGAATCCTAAAATTAATCATCAAGAAATCTTACACAATCATCCAAAATTTCAAGCAATATTAACCAAATTTCAAAACTTCACCAATCAAAATAAAAACACCCTTGAGATTGAAGAAAGAGTATTTCCTAACTTAACAGGAGATACATTAGCAGGAGACAATAAAATCAATTTACGTACAGAATCATTATATTTTGTTGAAGATTATTTTTGGAATCATCAACATGATGATTTTGAACATATTGAAGATGAAAGAGATAATTATTCATTAACATTTTTCCATCTTGGACCAAAATTATCCGGACATCATGGGATAGTTCATGGTGGATTATTGGCAACTTTATTGGATGAAGTAACTTGTAGATTAGCATTTCTTAATTTTGAAAGTCAAAGAGGTGTAACTGCAAATTTAAATATTAATTATAAGCAACCTACATATGTTGATAATTATATTATGATCAAATGTACCTTGATTAAGAAACAAGGAAGGAAGTGTTGGGTAAGAGGAGATGTGTATAGATTTGATTTGGATGATAAACCGGTTGAAACGGTGGAAACAAAAGAGAATTTATTGACTACATGTGAAGTATTGGCTATAGAACCCAAATGGGTTGATAAATTGAAGACAGTGTAACGAGTCTTTGCCTATTTATTTATGGGACGATGGTCTATTTAATAATAATTATAATACATAGAGTTTTATATAGAAGTGATCTTTATTCTAATTTGATTAATTCAAGATGTTTATTTAATGATTGTAATTCCACTAAAATATTATCCATTTTTTTCACTACAATTATAAGTGCTATGGATGCTAATATTAAAGCAGCCAAATAATCATTCATTCCGAGGGTTTGTTGTTTAGATGTCATGGTTAGTGTTGCTAATCTGGGGTAATTGATAAACCCAATCTGATCTAAATCATAAGCAGGAACAAAAAAAAGATAAAGAGATCCACCCAAATATTGATTTAAGTCATGAAACATTAAACAGTATTTATATAAAAGTCTATTTAAATCTAACCCCCCCTTTTAAAGAAGCATTCAAGAATACAACGACAGAAAAATCAAGTTATAATTTTCATGTGGAGTTTTACGGTACTGTAACAACCAGACAACCTGACGATAAATTATTCGAAAAAAAATCCCCCCATCTTCTTTTCCTATTCTAGTAAAAAGGAAACCTAACCAAAATTTTCCCAACAGGTTCTCAACTAATCTCCTCTCTGTTCTCTATAAACTATCAGTTCCTTTCACCTTACTCTGGCCAATCTCCATCTTTGCACTCTTCGCTCCAAACTGAATCGCCCTCTTCAACTCCTCCGCCACAAACCCCAACCCCATCCTCTTGGCCAACTCCCTCAACGCATATTTCCTCACCGGCTTCAACCTTACTACACCTTTCTTACTCATCTCAAACCCATACCTAAACTTCATCCTCCCAGGAACATTCTCCACTACCCACAGGATAAAAGATTCATCTAGGTATGGATATCTTAATTCCTTCCCCCAACAACTCATAACCCGATCATCACGTCCCAAATTCCGAACATGAATGATCTGGATATCATTCATCAACTCCCGGGTCAATTCCTCATACTTCTCATCCACAATCCCACTCTCAGTGTCTGGCAATAGGGTTGTGAATATTGACTCATGTCGGGAATATCCGGCGAATAATTCATCAGCACCCAATCCTGAAAACAAAACCTTCGAATCTGAAAAATATCCCCCCTTGGTCTCGACATATTTCTCCGGATTGGATTCAAATGTCTCCCAATCGATATCATAATTGATTAATTTCTTCATGGTGGTTAATTCAGGTAATTTCGACAGGGCGAAATAGAACGCAATCGCGATCGAAAGATCCATTTCCGTATTTTGAGGATACATCAATTCCAATACTCTTGATTTATGCCCTAGCCAAGATTGATAATCGACATTAATCTCAACCAATTGGATTTGGAGCCCCGGGAATTGTTTCGATAAGTGAAACCAGGATTTGGTTGCAAGTTTCCGATCGGGGGATTGATGACTTGATAATCCCGTACGAGGATTTTCGAACCCAACTGTTAATAAATCAATCGTGGATGTGCGGGAAGTATTGGAGAGGTGTTGGCAGATTAGGCCGGCTATTATGGTGCAATCTAATCCTCCACTGAAGAGTACCGCTAATGTACTTTCATTGGCGTGGTGGGATATTGGATGGATTGACTCTTGTCTGATTTGAGTCGATTGTTTGAGTTTATCATATAATTGAGTTAATAACCGTTCTTCATCAATATTATCAGGATTAGATGGACATGGTATTGGGGGGTTATGAAGATGATAGATATTAATTCCATGATTTTGGACATCATATTCATATATCTCATTCTTACAATCTATAAACCCATCAGTCCCCACAGAACTTATAACAATCTCATTCGAGGTCATCTTATAACACAAACTTCTTTTTCCAATTGAATCACGACCAAAATATACTTTTTCATCAATCACATCAATCAAAATAACTGCAAATTCCCCTTGCAACTTTCTCAACGTTGATAAAATCGCCAATTTTCTATCCTCCAGACGTTCCAATTGAGAATGCAATGTATCGATTATGAATTGAGTATCATTAGTTTCCAAACATTCTTGATTATATAACTCCCCATTAAATTGCAAAATAAATTGATCTCTAAGTATCGGTTGTTTAGTGAATGGTTGTCGTAATGACAAAATCGAGGAAAATGATTGATATTCAATCTGGTCATATTTGAATTGGGTATAGTTTAAATAATCAGGTCCTCTATTTGATACTTTATATATCAAATCATTGATATCATCAGATATCACCACTTCGTCATCATCATCATCATCTTCTTTGGTTAAGGTATCTATTTCTGATTGAATAGAATCTAATTCAAATTTCTTAACTTCGGCGGGTAGTTTTACATTATTCTTAATTTTTGATAATTTGGCATTCAATTCTCGTAAATAATCTAAATTATTTAATTTAAATAATTGTTGTTTAGTTAATGGTTTTAATTTTGAACCTTCAACTAAAAATTGATTAATGATTTCTGGATCTTGAGTTTCCCAAGTTTGGAAAATGTCGTTATGTGTTGTAAAGGAGGTCGATGGAATACATGTCGGTATTTCTACTGATTTATTGGATATCCTTAATAAGATTCCACACATTTGTTAAGGTGTTGTTATATGGCTTAGAAGATGACGATGAGATGAGATCTGATCGATTCTAATTTTTTTTTTTCGTTCTTAGTGGGAGAATGTTTTGCAACACCACCAAACTGGAACAAACGATTTTGCAGCTATCTCATCAACTACTATTAACAGAACACAGCTAAGATATACAATTCATACAGTCTAGGCATATGAATGAGAGGGAATCAGTCATACTATAAATCACATTAAAAATTAATAAAAAAACATTACATAAACTATTTATCATCTAATAAAAAATCATTCTTTTCACCTCTCATCATCAAACAACACCTGAGCTCATTCAATAGTAATCAATCCTTTTCCTTTATTCTTCAAATATTCAACTAATTCATTATTTTCATACATTGAAACAATCTCATCTCTAGTCCCCATAGGTCTACCGCCTATAAACAATCTAGGCAATTGATCATTCCCCACCTCCTCAATATCACTATCATCATGCTCCTCATCTTCTCCCGGGTTATTTTGATTCAGTTTAAGATAATTAATAATATTGACATGATTAGGATGTTTCGCAAGATTAATGGTCTTAGGTTCAGGATGAATATATAAATTAATTAAAATGCTTTCAAATAATCTATCATCATTTTCATCAAGGATTAATATTATAACTGGACTTAAGGAGAAGATCTCTTTTAGGTTTGATTTAATCAAATCGGAATGATTGTCGTCATAATCATCATCCAAGATTGAATCATCGACTTGGGGATTAGAATTATTAGAATCATCATCTTGATCTGGGGATAATTGTCGTTGATATTGGGAGAGGGGTTGAGAAGGTGGGATTGCGGCTGGTCCAGGTGGGGTGAAATCACTAGAAGTTCCAGCTTGACTTCTTAGAACTCGGGGATGAGCCCCCCCACTTATATAGATTGGTTCTTTTTCTTCTTGGCTTGTAGTATCTGGATCTTCTACTTCATATTCCCCGTCTCCTTCTCCTTCTTGTTGTTGTTCATTATTTCTCTCCTCGTCTTCTACTTGTTCTTGTTGATTTTGTTCATTCTGACGTCTCTCCTCATCGTCTACTGATGGCAATGGAGATACTTGTCTTGAAGGCACAACATTCCAATCTTTTTCTTGATTCATTAAAGTATAAGTATCCTCCTCCACATTTGCGTTAGTAATATCCAGTAATTTTACATTCCCTTGTATTGAAGATAAATCAGGTGTAAATGCAAATGATGAATATAACATAATTATAGTAACAATGAATATGGATATAAGTAGGAAGGTTAATAATCTTTGACGTGGTTTACCTTGTTGCTGTTGCTGTTTTTGTTTATTGTTGTTGTTATTGTTATTGATAGGAGGTGGAGAGAGAAGGAAATCACCTTTTTCAAAGTCGATTGAAAACAGAGCTTTTGATCTTCTATGTGACATTGATTGATAGTAGTAGTAATGAGTATTAGTGAGTGATGATAATTAGTATGTGGCTTGCTCTTATTTTGTGATTAAGGATCACACGAGGGGGGGAATGTAAAATGTAAGCGAATGGAATAGTAGTGGAAGTGGTACAAATACAAAACAGTATGGATATTATTTCTAGTGGTGGCTTATTGGTTATGTATGTGTTAGTGGGGAGTATATGTGGAAATGGATAAACAAATGAGACAAATGGGATAAAAGGAAGGAGATGAAAGAGATAAAGAAAGAAAGTAAGTGAAAGAAAGAAGGTGAGTATGCATTGGGCTTAAAAAAAAATAGAGAGAGAGAAGTAAGGGGAGAGCCTGTTAGACTGACAGATGTGAAAAGGTGACAAAAAATATAAACCCGCCCCCAAATAAAATCACAAAAAAGGATGAAAAAAAAAGCTTAACATATATTTATATGTCGTATGACTATTTACCATTGTATCTTATTACTTATTTATCCATAACTGTATGTATATTCCATACCAAGTAGAAACCAATAAATCAATATAAAATTTCTTAGTAAATTTAATTTAAATATCGCGTGTGTCTTAGAAGAGAAAAAGTTTAACTAAGAAAATTCAACAACAAAAAGAAAAATAAAACTATTTAGCCGAAAAGTTTTTTTTCTTATTTATTTTTTTACGAGTTTGTCTAAAATATTTTAAATATTTTTTAATTTTTTATGGGGGACAATAATAATTAACACATACACGCACAACAATAGAAACATCAATTGAAACAATTGAAACAATATGTTGAAGCGTACTACAAGACTAGAAAATAAACTTAACGAGCTTCGCCGTCTGAT